TATAGATTGATTAGTTTATATGAAGCGCTTTTAATTAAGATATGCTTTCTAAGCATGCTTGAATGTGTGGGGCCTGCACTTTCCAATTAACAGTAGTTGGCTTTAATTAGGATCAAAATTGGAAAGAGTCATTAATCCCTGGCTCCTGAAGAAGATTCATTATGAGATTAATAATGTGTCATTTGATCTTTATATATATATATATATATATATATATATATGTAAAGATCGTATAAAAACAGGGTGGAGGATATCGACCCTGGTCTAGTATTTCAAAAGAGTATCTTATCAGTATCTTCTCCAGAGAAAGTACTAAAGAATTATCTCACACACAAATAATAAATTATATATAATTATCTCTCCTTCTTATTTCATTTTTTAATTTTTTTATTAATTTAAAATATATTGCAGATGGGATATTTTATGACAAAGGGCCTTGAGTTGAGGCTTTTTATGTATGAAGATGACAGGGATATATACAAAGAAGAAAACTTTAATGGATAAAACACCAAAGAACACCACTCATTTCAAGAGTGGACAACATTAAAAATCTATCTCTTGCATGGCGTGAAGCAAATGTTTTTTTTTTTTGGAAAAAAAAGCTAAATTTTGAGTTTCAAAAAATAGATATAAACTTCAATACCTCCCCCGGTCACTTTAGGGCTCAGTCTTTAAAGCCTCAAATTCATAAATCCTCATTGATCATGTTTTTTACATTCCATTCTCATTGATGAGATTTAGGGTTGAGCTTGAATATCTACATAACTTTTTTAATTATTTATTCAAATTTTCAATTATGCTAATATATACAATTCAACAAATTGTATAATTTTCATACATTAATTTAAAAATTAAAATAAACTAAATAATTTTGACCATGTTAGTTTGCAATATTAACAATAATTTCAAGTAAATGATTTCAATAATTTCAACTATATATTGACATAAAAAAAATAGGGCTTAAAAGTGCTAGCATGAGCCCCAATCCACATTTAAATAGTTTTATAAGGCAGGCTTGAAAGCAATTTCTTATAAATTTTTTTTCTCATTTTTTTAAGCCTGACTCAAAAATATAGGAACTAAATGTGTAGCACGAAAGGCCCAATCTTTATTAACTACTATGGCTCCAATGCCTAGTTAATTATTAATTGATTATATATTAGATACAATGCCTGGCTATAATAAAATTATTTTTAATTATTAGATACAATGCCTATCTATAATAAATCTTGTACAACATTGAAAAAACGGATTATTAATATATCGTAAAGTATTAAAATGAGTAAATTTTTAAAGTTTACTCTTTTCAATTTTATTTATAAGTCACTTCCAGCATGTTTTATCGGAATTAAAAAAATCTTAAACTTCATTGATTTTATCTTAAAATTTAACAAGTTTTCGTATTTACCCCTAATAGATATTCTTAAATCTTATTACTGACATTTTTATTTAAGCATTTGATAAGGGTAAAAATGTAAAGAGGAGCATTGCAAATTGACAAGTGCCTTATAAATAGGATCAAACTTTTTCTTCTCTTTCTATCCTATAAATAGGACCAAAGGAGTATTAATTAAATAAATAATAATCCAACTATTTTTACTTGCCCCTAAAGTTAGAAAAAAGGGCCAGCCCGACCTTGTAGAGTTGGCCCTTAAAGGACTCGGGTCTAAAAAGGCCAGCCCTTTTAAGCTCGAGTTTTCTTTAAGACCCTAATATACAAAGCTCGGCTCTTGACATAGCGAGCTCAGGACCGGCCCTGCAGGCTCCATACCCTTTTAACTATTTTTATTTTTTTTAAAATTTTTTAATCAAAACAAAAAATTATCTCATTCCAATATAATACCCAATCAAGAAAGGTAAGAAAAAACTAATTAAATAACATCTAAATGAACTAAAAACACAAATGAAATGATAGCAAGGTAATACAAGCAATGGATCAATTAAGCCAACAAACACCCAATCGAAATTACATGAGATTGAGCCTCGAAGGACTGAGATATGGGAATAAGGGACTGAGAAAAATAAAAAGCATGGGCACAATATGTGCATCAGATAAAGCTTAGCTCATGAGTCACAAATGCATGAGCATGATAAGTGATAGGAGGACTTGGGAGATCGATGACGACGAGCGTCAATTAATGGAATATTGTTGAGATTTGGTTCTTGAGAGGGAGCACTATCGGAGTGAGCAACAAGGACAACTGAAAAGTGAGCAAAAACAGGAGTAAGGATGACTTGTGAGTTATGGTGACGGGGATGGGGACGGTGATGCGATGACTTGCTGAAGAGCAAGGATAACTTGTAGTAGCAAAAAGGAGAGAAGTATATTAAAGAAAGAAGAGTAAATGTTGAATTGAATGAATCATTATTGTGAATCCAGATGAATTAGAGAATTTAAGGTTGTATTTTTTTTCAAAAAACAGCAACCAAGGATTTCTGTATGAAATTTATATTAATTAAGAACCAGTTGTTGTCAAATCTGAATGAAAAACAAACTACAATAAACTGTTATTAATTTAAAATGAGTTATTATTAAAACATAAATGAATACTTATTGATAAAGGCTAACCTAAATTCATAAGTATATATTCAAATTTTGACAACAAGTGATCCTTGACTGATATAATTTTTGATCAATGATTCTTCATTACTATTTTTCCTTTTTTTTTGGCCTTCTATCCTCAATAGATATGGGCTGACATGTGATGTGGAGTAAGATTTAGTTTATTTTTTTTTTCAAATCTAAAAAGAGTGAAAGTCATGAGAATTAATTAAAAAATATGCACATGTGGACTTAAATGGGTTGGCCTCGCAAGTTTATTATTTTGAAGTTATATTTGTAAGCCTGGCCTTATTATTATACGCGCTTAAATGGGCTGGCTAGACAGGCTCGGCTCGTTTTTCCAGCCCTACTTGCCACCGATGAAGTAGAACAACAAATTGGACTTATACAAGATGACAAACATGCAGGATTATTGAAGATATAGGTCAAGGATAGAACAATGGGAAATGGAAATTAAAGGTAAATTAAGTGGAAGAGATAGTGAAAGATGAAGGCCACAATGGATGAATTTGGCCAAACATCAGGAAGATTTGTGAGTCGGGGTTGTTAATTATTAATATATAATTAAAAAGCGACGCAAAAAAGTGGATAGCATGAGGATTGGGTATTTTACTTTGAATGCAAGGTCATCATCAATGTCACCACTTGATTTGCTTCTTCTGAAGTTGGAGTTAGGCCTTTATAGGAAACGGTAAGTTCAAGATTTTATTGAAGGCAACTATATCTTAACTATATTATTGTTCTATCATGTGGGCATATTTTGTATGAAATTTGATCTTTTTAACCATTAAATGTAAAGTGATATTTTTTGGTTTAAAAAGCGGGACAATGTTTCGTTTATTCTAATATTTTATTTTCATAATTATAAGTTTTTATTAGCATAGAAAATAAAATTTATAGCAAGTCAGGCTATTCATGATTCATGAATATATATGCATATATATATTTCTTCTATTAAAAAATATAAGATATTTTTAATCAAATCTCATTTCTCAATAACGTCATTATCTACTTTTCAACTAACCCTATCTTTTCATATTTACCCCTATTAAACACCCTACAATAAATATAAAATCATTATCAACAGGGACATTTTAAAAAAAAGACAATGATTATGCCTCAAAAGATTAAAAATGCCTTACATTTTTAACATTTAATTCTTCAAAAAATACCTTACATTTTTAAACGAAAGGAGTATAAGTTAACTTATTAAAATATAGAGACTGAATAATTAAATTTTTTCTTATTTATTTATTTAATTTTTCATCTAAGGATGAGAGTATGAGATATATACTCTCTCTGGACCACAATATAAATTGTTTACTAGAAGTTTTGCTTGGTTAAAATATAACATATTTCGTAGATGTTAAGTATTTTTTTTTCAATTACATCCTTACTTTAATTATTAATGGAAATATTTTAAATAAGTTAAATATTATATTTATTACACTTAAAGGCACAATTGAAAAGATGTACAATTTTAACTAAATTTTTTTAAAAAAACATAAATTAATTAACAATAATTTATATTGTGGTAAAGTACTACTCATGTCTCACTCCTTTTTTTTTTTTAATTATCTAAACTACTATGGGTTCAATGAGTCCTAGACGACGCTGCCGAAAACAAAGGAATTAATGAGTACGATTTCAGTGTTTTTTTTTCTTCCCCTTGGCATACATTTACATATAATCTCACATTTTCAAATAGAAAATTAGGATGTCACTATTTTACATCATTATATTTTCAAATAAAAATATTGTGCTGGGCTTAAATTTTATTAAGAAAAATCATTTAAATTCAAATTATTCAACAATATAGGCTATTATATGGTATTATTTGTTTTCTTGAAAAATTATACAATATATAAAGTATAAAAAGACACAAGTATATTAAATACATAGCTTGTTCGGAACATAGTACGGATGTAAACCACTATACACACACACACACGCAGAAAGATTCGAACATGTCCCACAAAAAAAATAAGGAGAATAACAATTAAGTTGATCTCTGAAAAATTAATAACAGTTATATCTTAGATAGAATTTTCAAAAATAAATTGTAAATATTGATTTAAAAAATTGTAAATTCAAGAACTTTAGTTGTTATGAATTTATATTTGCAATTTATTAATAAAAAAAACACGACATAGTTATATACGACGAATGCATTTATGAGAGGCCAATATATAAAGACTCGTTCCTATTCCAAGTGAAGAGGTAAAGTTAACGTCAAACACCACTGTTCCACGACACCACCACCGTCTTCTGATTCCGTATTTCGTACCATTGACACGCCAAAACATTTTATTTATTTATTTATTTATTTTTGGCCAGTATTTATTTATTTTATTTATTCACAAATTTTTTCTTTTATTCCTACTCTGTGTATATATATATTCCCTTACTCCTTCGTTCCCCCACCACTTGACTTCGCTGTATTCCTCTTCTTCCTCAATTCGCCCTATTTGTTGGCGTGGATTTGGCAGTTATATATATATATATATAGATCGAGACGATGATCCAGGAGGAGCATAGTAAGAAGATGAAAGTGAAGAAAGGATGGCTCGCTGTTCAGGTTGGTTTGGAGGAGGAGGACGACGACGACGGTGATCGTGGCGCCGCCGCTCGCCGATTTGTCATCCCTATCTCCTATCTCTACCATCCTCTCTTCCGGCGTCTTCTCGACAAGGCTTACGAAGTCTATGGCTACCACTCCGACGGCCCTCTCAAGCTTCCCTGCTCTGTCGACGACTTCCTCCATCTCCGGTGGCGAATCGAGAAAGAACCCAACCACCACCATCACCACCACCAACACCATAGCCACCATCAACTTCCTCACGCTTTGTTCTTTCACTGTTGATCTCTCTCAGGCCAGGCCAGTACTGGCCTTTCTGGGATCAAAGCAGCGTGCTTCTCTTCTTGATTCCGTTTAATTTCAGAGGTTGAGGTTTCGATTAGGCTGCTTCGTAATCCATATTCTGCTTGAATTTTGAAGAGATCAGAAATAAGACCTCCCATATATGGACTGTACATGAATTTAACCGGCTTTACTTTTTGTTTTTATGTTTTTTTTAATCCTTTTTAAGAACAGTGATAGAAAATTAAAATAAAAGAGATGAAAAAAAGAGGCATGTATTGAAACCCAATCTAAATTAGTTAGATCAGTGACTCAACGAATCAGTCTCCTTGTTTTAGTTCGGTGAAATGTTTTAAATGGGCCGACGTTTCCCCTTGTTAGTCTGAAGTTGCATTATGTTGAGTTAAAAAAATCAAAGAAAAAACAGTACTCCACCATTCAAATGATAAGATAATTTGAAATAAAATTATTATGCATATCAATAAAATTTAATATTAATAATTTTAAATTGTCAAATTTATTTTTTAAAATAAAATATGAACTTCATAAAATATTTTTCATGTAATATAAGTTTAAAGCTTTGTTTGCATATCTCACATCTCACTTTGTAAAAGTGCTTTCTCATTTTAAGAAAGTAGGATGTTGTATGGATATAAATTTTATTTCAAGCCAACTTTTGAAAGATAATTTTTGAATATTGTTAAAGGTTAATTTGTTAAAGATTAAAAGCTGAGGGGAGAAGATTTTGTGACATACTTTTAACATGTGATCCTTTTAATTTTTGATATGAGGTGACGATGCTATTCTAAAATTTTCAATGATTCTTCTACATTTAACTTTTCTTTATATTTTTGTCACAAAAACCTTTCTTTATATTTTTTTTAAATTATTTTTATTAATTAATGATTGGAATGTATATTATAAATTGAATAATTAATTATATTAATTATAATATTAATATTTCTTGAATGATTTATTATATAATTTTTTCAACATATCAAACTTTATATTTTTTATTTTTATTATTTAAATTATCAAAATTTGATGTTATTTCAAATTTATATCATATTTTTTGAACATTTTTAATATATTAAAAATGATAACATTGAAATTTTAAATATTAAAAATATTTTAAAATGTGAAAATATAATTGTTTAAAATAATAAAAATTATCATTTGAGATTAAAAGTATTAAAATTATAAAATTAAAAAAATAGTTTATAAAATTAAGAACCTAAATTAAAACTTCACATAAATTTAAATGATTAAATATATATTTTTACCTTTAAATATTTCTTCTTTTAAGATTAGAGAAAACTTCATTAAACTCCCCCACCAACTTATTTACAATACGTTTTTTAAAATTATAAAATATAAATTTAATCCTTGTGAATCCTTTTTGGACTAAACTAAAATTATGTTTTTAAAAGAGATGACACAATTAACTCCAATCTTCTCAAATAAAAACAAAGTATGCAAAACAAAGAGCAATTAATATGTAAAATAAATAACTAATATAGGACTTGTTTGGATACCTTTATAAATTAATTCTAAGTTTAAAATCATAGTTTAAAAAAAAATTCCAAACTCCATAGTTTTTTCAAACTTCATTTAATTTTCAAAAATTTATTTGGGTACGTTAAAATTTGTTCCATTTTAAAAAAAACTCTGAACACTATGGGCTTATCACTTTAAATAGTAAATTTTATTCACTCAAAATTAATTTTAAAAAAATTATCTAAACATCATCTATTTCATCGTAATTAATTTTTAAAAATTTATTTAAATATCATCACATTTTAATAATTAATTTTTTTTATAATTAATGTTTTTTTAATTGAAATCCAAACACACTCACGGAGAAAGCTTCCTATTATCGTCACTGCATATAATACTATCATTAAACTATTGACGTGGAAGCAATTATTTGTGGCAGTCCGATAACCATTCAATTTTCACATTAACCGATCACGGGAAGGTGGAGGGACAAACTACACTCAAATGAGGGATCGAGAATCGGGCTTTGTTGTCGTGAGAGGAGATGTGACGGAAGTGACAAGACAAGTGCCAGGTCGAGCTCTCTAGTGTTTGGTGTCTTTTTGTATTCTGTGTTGCAGAGAACACAAGTTCAGGGAATGTTGCTGGGTATTTGTCAGACTTCAGACTGCGTCTCCAGATTACCTTTCTTTTGTTTTTGTAAAAATCACAATTAAATTATATAAATTATACTCTAATGGTTTAAAAATATAAAATATTTTTAATTAAATTTTAACTCTTTAATAAAAAATTACTTACTTTTAAATTAATTTTATTTTTTTATATTTATCTCTCTTAAATATTTTATAATAAATATAAAATTATTATCAATATGAACACTTTTAAAAAAAATAATAATTACACTTTAAAAAATTAAAAATATCTTACATTTTTAACATCCAACTTCTCATAAAATATCTTATATTTTTAAAAGGAAAGAGTATAAATAACATTTAATTTTTAAAATGTCATAATTTTATTAAATTTTTTTAAAAAATTTGTTTTAAAAAATTTTAAATTAAAAAGATCACTTTATCCTTATTCATAAATTATAATTTATTATTAAATTCTTGTGATTCTTTAATAAAAGCTATTATTTCTTAAATAAAGGTTATAATTGAAGTTTTTTATTTTGAAAACTTATTTTTTAATGATAGAAATTACACTTGATAACTTATATTTTACTATTTAACTCTTACAATTCACAGAACAAAAATTATTATCCCTTAAATAAGAGTTGTGATCAGGGTTTGTTATTTTTAATAAAGGTACAATAATTTTTTTTAATTTAAAATTAATTGACATAAAAGCCTTTAAAAATTTTAATGAAATTATGACATTGTAAAATATTAAATTATTATTTATATAATTCGAGTGAATTTTATTATTATTTTCTTTTTATTTTTTTAGCCAATCTTTTTTTTAAAAAAAAATTATTAAAAGCATTGTCGGGGTATTAAATGTAGGTATGCCTTTTAATAAAAATTTAAATTTTAATTTATCATATTATGTAAGACTAATTCCTTTCATTGGACCAACCTCTATTTTTTTTTTTACCAACAAAATATTTCATGGGCAAAGCAAACGGAATTACAAATACTTGAAGAGTTCAGAAAATGAAAACCCAAAAAACCAAAACAAACACCACTGAAGCAATAAAACATAAACACAAGGAATTAGCCAATGCCTTCACGATTCACTTCTTAGAAACGCTAGTCATTGTCAAGGGTACTATTCATGGTTGCTTCCTGAAGAATGATAAGAGCTAGAGGAGATGGCGGTGCAGAAACCAGACCTTGAGGTCCCAACTCACTTGAAGCTAAGGCAGCTAAATAGTCTGCTGCATAATTTCTCTTGCGAGAAATAAGAGACACAGAGATCAATCTTCTGTCCACAATCAATTCAAGCACATCTGACAAAACCTCATGGTACTTCCAGGGGCATGCTGAGTATTTCCGCCATTGCACAGCATTGAAGACATCAACACAATCAGTCTCAATAGTTATAGGAATACCTTCCCACAAATCACTGAGCAGAACCGCCTTCTTCACTGTCAAGAGTTCAACGAAGAAAGCAGAATCAGCTTGCATGCTTTCAGCCTACCCATGAATGTATTTCCCTTCGTGGTTTCTACAAACTATCCTAAATCCAACCTTATCAGTTCGAGCATCAAAGGCCCCATCACAATTCATCTTGACAATGATACACCCAGGGAGGGGTTTTTGCCACTTGACTTCATTAACATACTCGGGCATAACAGGGGCAGATTTCGTCAATTCCTTAACACCCCAGAACTCACTGACGCACGCATTTGTAAGATCAATTGTAGCAGCAGGGTCAGGGTTTATATTTTTGAAGACACTTCTACACCTCATTTTCCAGATAAACCAGCAAAAAATGATAAGATATGCCTTGCCATAATCATTATTTTTAAACTCATCTAGTAATAAAGCCCCAAACCAACAATTCATGTCACACACCTCCATATAATTGATGAGCAGACCCAAAGAACAACTAAACCAAGCCACACGAACCCAGTTACACAAAAGAAATACGTGTTCAGTCGTCTCCACTTCCTCTCCACAAAAAGGGCAGAACTCATTCGGAGCACATCTTTTGGCCAGCGCTTCTCTTGTGGCAAGGGCATTATTCATCAATCTCCACATAAAATGTTTGACTTTTAGCATGACCTTCAAGTTCCAAACTACCTTCCATACACTACCATCCATCAACCGAGACCGCGATGACCCAGGCCTATAAATGTCCACCCCTATATTTGGTCGTGTAGCTGCAACATATCCCAGTTTCACACTATATTGCCCATCCTTTGCTACTACCCAAACCAACTTGTCAGGCCTCCGCCTAGTAGCTAAAGGAATATTCTAGATTAGTCTTATCATACGAGGCTGTACAACAGATCGGATGCCATTAAGTTGCCAGCATCGATCTTCTATAAGGTTTGATACAGACATTTCCTTATCTACTACTGCACTTGCTATCATCTACAACTTAAACTTATCTGCTCCTAGGATTTAAGGGTCTTTCCATGCTTGGATGTACTGGCCATTGCCCACTGCCTGCCTGCCAACATAGACTTTTTTTAAAAAAAAAAAAAATCTCAACCATGCAAAATACTATCCCATAGCCAAGAGGCATGAGGCCTTTTTTCAGTATCAAGAAAAGATTTATTTAGAAAATAGATTCCCTTCAGGATATGGGCCTAATAGCTGTCTGGTTGATTGAGAATATGCCAAGTAGTTTTAGCTAATAACGCATCATTAAAGACTTGAAAATCCTTAAAGCCCAAGCCTCCATCAAATTTAGGACCGGAAGCATAGTGAATCTTGCCATTCCTAACATCATTACCCCAATAGAAATTTGATACCAATCTCTCAAGGGCTAGACAAGTCTTCTTCAGATACTTAAAGCAGGCCATAGAAAATGTGGGAATGACATTTACCACTGCTTTGATGAGAACCTCTCGGCCAACAAAAGAAAGAAGCTTTTATTTCCTTCCTTGTATTTCCATACTGATTTTATCCCGCACATAAGCAAGAGCTGCATCCTTTAATCTACCCCATAGGATAGGCAACCCAAGATATTTACCCGGGTCCTCAGCATTTGAGATGTTCAAAATATCAGTAACCCCATCTCGTACATGGTCTAGAGTATTTGCTGGGAAAAATAGGTTCGACTTCTCCATATTAACTTGTTGACCTGAGGCAGCATAATAATCCTCCAAAATCTTCTTGAGCATTTTATAGTTTCTATATTTCGCATTCATAAAAATCATGTTATCATCAGCAAATAAACGATGGGTAAGAGTTAGGTAATTTCTAGCCAGATTAATGCCATTTAGATCACTATTATCTACATGGGCAGAAATCATACTCGATAGAGCTTCCGAGGCCAGGATAAATATATACAGAGATAAGGAATCCCCTTGTCTAATGCCTCGTTGAGGTCTGATTCTTCAAATTGTCTTACCAGATAATTGGACATTGAACTGAACACTGTCAATACAATGCATAATCCAGTTAGTCTATATAGGGCTAAAATTTAATTTCAGTAAGAAGCCATTCAAGCTGATCATATGCTTTATTCATATCCATTTTTAGTGCAAATTCATACTTTGAGCTCTCTTTCTTATGTTTCAAGTAGTGAAAAGCCTCATGTATAACAATAATATTGTCCTAGATGAGTCTATTAAGGACAAAAGCCCTTTGGTGTTCAAAAATGCAATCATTAAGCACCATTTTCAACCTATTTGCCAGGATTTTTGCAATGATTTTATAGGCAAAATTACACAGACTACTAGGTTTATATTGAGTGACAGATTCAGGATGGTCTATTTTTGGAATGAGAATAAGGTTAGTGTTTTTCAAATATGTAAGATTACCCCCATGAACAAAAAAATCATGTACCAAATTAGAGAGAGTTATGTACGTCAGACCATGCAGTTTGGTAAAAGTGGCTATCAAAATCGTCTGGCTCAAGAGCTTTGAAAGCCCCAAGTTGGTAAGTGGCATCTTTGATTTCAGCCGAAGTAACAAGTAATGTAAGCCACCGATTCTACTGTTCAGTGATTTTTGGCTAAATACACTCAAGAACTCCACTAATATTACATGGGTTACTTGTGCTAAACAAGTTAATGTAAAAACTACAGACCATATTTGCAATACCTTTTTCCTGTTCCACCCAATTCCCTGCACTATCCTTTAATTTGACCACCAAATTACGTTGTTGCCTTTAGCGTTGTACGGTGAAAGAACTTTGTATTTTGGTCTCCTGCATTAAGCCATTTATTCCTCAACCTCTGCCACCAAAATAACTCCTCTTGTTGCCACAATTTCCCCAGTTCTGCTATCAAAACATTAATATTTTTTTATTTGTTGTGTAAACATCAACATTCAATGTTTCTATCTTAGAAATTAGCTCATCGATCAACTTCTTATTGTTAGGAAAAACCTTTTGACTCCAGATTATGAGCCGCTTATGATAGCTATTAAGGCACGATATGAAAGCTTGAATTCCATTTTGAGACCGTACCTCTTAATTCCAATAACTTCGAATAACATTAAGAAACTCTGGATGCATAGCCCAACTTGCCTTAAATTTAAAACTTTTAGGGGATTTCATCTCCTGATAGCGAAGATTAACAAGCAGCATATGATGATCAGATGCTACCGGTTCAACATGAAAGACCAAAGCCTTTGGAAAAGCTTCCTTAAATTCTAAATTACCCATTGTCTGATCTATATGTTCCTTGATATGGTCATCTCTAACACGTTGGTTACACCATGTGAACCGTGCCCTTTTAGCTTCTAGCTCCACCAATTGACAGTCAGATACAAATTGTTAGAAGTGGAAAATACGCTTGAGAGCATATCGATTACCACTTGGTTTCTGACTTTAAGACATAAGATCGTTAAGATCACCCACACACGACCACGGAATGGCTATGGAACTAGCAGTCCTTCGTATCTGCTCCCAAACCTTCAATCTCTCAGCTTCAATTGGCAAGCCATACATACAGGAAATATACTCAGGTGTCTCCCATAATCCAGAAGAAACAAAGGTAGGAATAAGATTCTTAAAGCTACTAAAAATATTTACTATCAGATCACCAACCCACCACAAACCAATCCCCCTGAATGACCCACAGGGTCTACATACCAACTTTCATCAAATCCATAACTCCGGTGAATCTGCTCTAGGTAACTCCATTCTTTGTCACCATAAGGAAGACAATTTGGGATTTATTTTTCCTAACCTCCTCCTTGAGGTTCCTTACTATTAAGGGTACCCCTATCCCTTGATAGTTTCACGAGATACAAATCATGGCCCTTGGGTGGCTAATGTAGGACAGCCACAAGAACCTCCAGCAAATCATTCCTCATCTGTGAAAACACTAAACCCACTCGGCACCATCCAACTTTCTAGAAAATCAATCTCACTACCAAAGTAAGAACAGATTGGCATGTAGCAAACATCCCCTCCTTGATTTCGTACCTCTTATTTCGGGTGCCGAACACTTTTATGCCTTAGACTCTTTTTAGGACTCAAAACCTTTCTTTCCACCTCTTCCTAGGTCGTAGACTTTAAAAATAGTCTCCTTCTTTTTGTTGAGCTTGGTAATACGGCCTCAGCAATCTATCATTTCAAATTTAAAACCACCTATGCGTTTAATGACTTCAGAAACTAGGGATAATGACTGGGCCACTACAATAGCTTTTTCTAATCCTTCCTTCACATCATACTTGTTAGACTTTTTTATCCATTGGTGATGGGCTGACATCAATCACCATCTCATTCACTAATTGACCCACGATACTCTACCTCTGTGACAAAAGAGGATTTTTTTGCACGTCCTGTATTTGGGCTTGTCCATTATGTCATTTCTCATTTTCAGGCCCAATCACATCCACTTTATTGGCACCATTCATCCTATTTTCTTGCACCTTATGAAGTATAGGTAACATGGGTTCAAGCAGACTATGTGGTAGACTTGTGGAGGTTACTTTCTCATTTCTCGACGCACCATATACGCAAAGTAACACATAGATCTTATTTTCAACTTGCATTCCTCACGAACATCAAACGAAAGAAGAAGACCTATCATTGCATGTATGGTATAATAAATTCTTTTTTATACATTCACAATCATACCCATCTCTCATACTTTACTTGTACTAGTATTTTGCCCTATCAATATTATTATTTCATATTACACGATGTCAAGGACCTAAAATACAAATATCAAATTAGCAAGTAATTAATGTAAGTGAAATGCATGAACTCAAAACATGAAATTATAGTTGGCAATATCAATATTACATTAAATATAAAATAAACTAAGGTGAGGCCTCCAATAGGAACATGTGGTCCTATGCCTCAGTTGCTTTTCCTTTTTTTTTTGCCATGAGCTAGGGCCTGTAAAATGTTAACAGAGAGAGGTGATTATAATCACTCAGTAATTAAGGTTATTCTATCCTATACAATTGCACATTAGTTGACATTTTTAACACAAATCATGTATAAGGCATACAATCACATATCTTACAATTTCACAAATATTTCATATGGTTTCGTGTAAACCATTATAATCTCTTCTTTTTACAATCCAAATAATTAGGCACATTGTCATAATATTAACAATCATGTGACAATAGCCAAATTAAATGTACAATGAACATTACCACAATAATAAAAATCATGTGACAATAGCCAACTCAAATATCATGACTTGCCACAAACTTAACAACCATGTGATACGTTAGATAATATGCATGATCAAACCAACTTTATACCTTTAGACTAAAATCATAGGCTATACATCTAATAGGCCTTTGTTTGTATGAATGGACTGTCTAAGCTCACTAATTGTAAGAAGCAACCTGGCCAAGGTCACTACTCTCACTCTCAAACCATGGTTTCCCTGACTCTTAAATTCCTAGGGTGTTGTAAACCCTGAGCTAGGCTCCTCGACAAATAAGTGGAGATAAATAGGTTCGAGTCCCTTGACAAACAGTAGGACAATGGCTACTTCCTAATTATAACGATAGGTAGCTAGGCTAGCTTTCAATTTCAAAGATAAATAGCCAATACCACATGGATTTATATCACTACTTTTTTCCTTAAGTGAACTTTCACTAATACGATCATGCAATCACTCATACTTACATATTCACATGTTTACAATTCATAATAGCAAACTCATTTATGGATGTTCTATCAGGCTATAACATGTGAGTATAGTACATAGATCCATACCATTTTATCAACAAAATTAAGACATACTTTCGCATATCAACATTCCTCCATACATGCATACCATTACACATTTTCTCATTCTCATATCACAATCATCATTATCATAACACAACATGTGATTTTGTTCATTTTATTATCATATCAAAATTTATAAAATCATCAAAGCCTCAATTGTATTCTATAAAACATGTTATATAGGAATTTAAATTAATTAACACATAATTACATAAAGTAACTTTCCTTGATTACTTCAAACCTTTGAATAGTCAAAGGTTTATCCTTTAATAGATGCTTCCAAAGCTTGATACAAGTTTAAAATGGTGCACAAAATGATTTCTCTACAATCAATCATGCCAACCATAGTTAATCAGACCATAGGCATACTTCTATACTCAAAATCAACACTTCACCAACCCCAATTTCTCCATTATTCATTAATACTCATAATCATTAGATATATTAACTCTCTACAACTCTAACCAAACCCATTGAACCCCTTTAGGACCATTAATAGATGTCATTACCTTCCAAAACACATTTTTGACTTTTCAAATCCACATTTTCATCCATCATTATGAGCCCAAGCTCAAGGATGTTATAATCATAAATGTTAGATTTAAATAATCTAAACAACTCTCATTAACTCTATTTAAGTTAATGAGATATGACATATAGACTCAAAGGTTTGAAAACCCCTTTAGGACCATTAATAGATGTCATTACCTTCCAAAACACATTTTTGACTTTTCAAATCCACATTTTCATCCATCATTATGAGCCCAAGCTCAAGGATGTTATAATCATAAATGTTAGATTTAAATAACCTAAACAACTCTCATTAACTCTATTTAAGTTAATGAGATATGACATATAGACTTAAAGGTTTGAAAATCATTTCTACATCAAGCCCTAACTCTTAAATTTGTTAAAAAGAGGAAGACAAAGGAAGATTAAGGTTTGAGAAACTTACCTCAAGTGATTGAAAACTCCAAAATACTCCTAAAACTTTCTTCAAGCCCTAGTAGAGCTTTTGGTGTTCTCCTTTATCCTCCCACTCAAACCTCTCTTCTCTCTCTATTTTCTTACATCTGATTCACGACTTATTATTGCATAATTTTGTTTGTCAGTTGCAGCACCTATCCCCATGCACCGCATCATGTGGCACAGAGAGGGTTCTTTTATGTTTTTGTGACTCGTGCATTGCGGCATCCTGTGCATGCATAACAACATGTAGTATAGAGCCACTTTTCCTTTATTTTCTCCTATTTTAATGTTTGGGTGATCTAACTTCACTTCAGACTCATATCTAAGGCTAAAAACACAACCTAAAATACTAATTATTTCTCTTTGTCCACACACTACACTAATCTCACTTAATTATCCTTAATTAATCCAATTAACTAAAGGTTCAAATTTTCAAGATGTTATATTGTCTAAGTCCCATTTTTTGTTGCCGAAGCTTATCACTGTTATCTCCCTCTAAGTTGCTGCTGCTGGTGAGACTTGAGAGCCAGAGAGAAGGAGGCATGTCATCCAGGAAGAGGCAGATAAGGTTAGTCATAGATGGAGGCTTGAAGGATAAAGATGGAAGTGAGAACGTGGAACTGAGTTCCTAGAGGGCACGATAGAAGTGAGTTCCATCATTTTTGTGAAAGTAAGTTCCTTCAAGAATTGGGTTCTCATTCCACATCTCCAAACCCGATTCCAATGTACCAAACAAACCATTAATATACTAATTATTATAAACTATATGCAACATATGAGATTTATTGTCTAATTTCTAATGAAATTTTTTGGAATCGTCAATCTGTTTTATCCCAAAAAAGAATAATCAATCCATGAACATGATCTATCCTTTGAAAGGCAAAAATAATTATCATCAGTCCATGTATTATCGGAGTCCCTGCGTAGTTCCTCTATTTTTACATATGCCACTTTAATTAATTCAAATATAAAATAATTAAATTATCCATATTATTTGAAAAATAAAAATTTCATTTTATCCTTATTAAATATATCATATTTTAAAAATAAATAATCTCTTATATCCAATCTTTTACCTATTCATAGGAAATTGCAAAAAGACAAAATTAAAAGAAATTAATTAATAGTTTATATTCTTGAGTAAAATGAGATTTATAAAAGAACCATGATGTTTTTAAGGATGACTTGTAACATTGAAAATAGGAGAGGATGAAGTATTCCTAAGTCATACGCGTCCTCAAATAAATAACACCATTTATTATTAGAAAAATTATGTATAGGCATGTGGAGCAAACTTATCTATAAATAAGTCTTGCAAAATTTAGAAATCACAATCAGGTAGAGACAATATTGGCCTTACATGTAATGCATGATCAGTTTAACTATTAAATGTGAGAAGTTACAGTTGTAAAAAAATAAAGTGATAGTTGTAAATTATTAATAAAATAGTTGTAAACAATTAGTGTTAAGCTTTGCTTGTAACACATGATCAGCTTAACTATTAGATATATGAAGTTATAGTTAAAAATATTGAAGTGATAGTTGTAAATTATAGATAAAATAGTTATAAAATAATTAGTGTTAAACTTTGATAATAATGCATGATCGGTTTAACTATTAGATATATAAAATTATGTTGTAAAATATTGAAGCAATATTTGTAAATTAATGATGATGTAGTTGTATAAAATTAGTATTAAACTTGTAAGCATGATCAGTTTAATTATTGGATATATGAAGTTACAATTTAAAAAAATTGAAGTGATAGTTGTATTGATATAATGTATTTTTAATAGATGCATTATTGTATTTGTACCCTAATTTTAAATTGCATTCGGGTTCTCAGAGACTTAGCTATGATTTTTAAATTTCATGAGACTTATTGGCAAATAGTTTGCTTCATGGGACCTACAAGTAATTTTTTCTTTATTATTCTTATAATATACTCTCTTGAGACAATTATATAAGTCATTGTTAATTAATTTAATATTTTAAAAAATTGATTAAAATCTTAATCTTAATTTTCTAAAATTTTTTACATTTTTCCAAATATCTACTATTAAATAAAATATATATAACATTTAACTTATTTAAAAAAATTTTATTAATTACTTGAGTGGAATATAATAAAATTAGGTATCACTGAAAAAACATATATAAAATCTATCTAAAGTGATATATTTTAGATCAAATGGAGCTTTTTAGCTGGGAGTAACATTATAAATATTTATTTGTGAGATTTAAATTCTCTAAATTTCAGAATCCAAGAATTGCATGAAATTTATGTTTTTTTTAAAAAATATTTTATACTTTTTGAAAAATAAAATAAATAAAAATCCTCACCTAAATTTGTCAATCTCAACTTTCATTTAAATCCTTATCTGTATGAAAATATTAACCATAAATATCAAATACTATGAGACTCCAGCGCGGGATTCATTAATTATTTCGGCAGTTAGAAGGTGGGAGGGGCCGTGTGTGTTGCATTCGGGAAGCCAACGTGGCACTCAGTGTTTGCGCGACGCAGAGCGGCAGAGCAGAGAAACGCATCAAATACAAAATTTCACTGTCAAAGTGAACGTTATCTGCTTATCTTACAATCAATCAAAGGTTCCAAACTTGGGACTTGGAAGCCGAATCGATCTGCGCGACGTTCGTGGTTCATTCCTACATCAGTAAGCTTCTTCCCCAGATATCTGGCCACGTAATCTATATTCTCCGAAATCTAATCAGAGTTTTCTGGTGACCTAGATTCTCCTTATTTTGCATATGGCGATATAATGCTGGTTATCATTCCTGTTCTTCTTTTTGGTGCTTCAATCTAAATTGACTTTGTTGTTTTTTGTTTTTTAATGATTGGATGAATGACCAGATCTCAAGGATATGGAACTCGGTGATATAGGTGAGCAATTTACTATACCCGGATGAAATTTGGGATTCAGCGATATAGTTTTTGTTCTTATGTGTTGATAACTACTTAACTACGCTTGAAAGCACTACTGCTTGATATACCAACGGTGTGTTAGAGGCGATCTAAATTCATGTTGTCTATTTAATTGCAAAGACTTCTAACTATTGTAATGGACAATTATCATCTGAAGCAACTGCTCAAGCGTAATATTTATGTAAAACAGTTAATGTTTCAGAAGTAAATCATAGGGACTAAAGTTCAGCATTTCACACTAGCTCTCAAGTTCTCCAGTTGGTGCAAGCTGATTTAGCATATTCTAAACTTAATATAATCTAAATAAAACCAATCAATTGACAATTCAAATAGACGCTGGAAGCAGAAACTGAAAATAAATAAACAAACTCTACACTATTGTCTGCATAGATACATTACTCTTGAATAGTTTCAGGCTGCCACATCTGTTGTAGTGCTGAACTTTTTTTTTAGACACCTAAAATATCCTTCAAGAGAGACTATCTCTAATTTCCCTTAGGATTGACAAAGAGTAACCCCTCCCAATTAGGTAGTGGGTCTGCTTGAAATAAATTCATGATTCCATCACTAGAATTTTCGGATGTATTAATTAAAAAAAAAAACGGGGGGATGAAACGACCTGAGGTTTGATTCTGATGGCATCTGCAGCCACCTTGCCTTCCTTAAGTGGCCATTGAAGGCATCTACTTGGCTGAAGGGATATCCCTCTCTCATCAAGTGACTAATTGCCTTAGGTGTGCCTGTTGGCATTTTTAAGTTCACCAGGTCCAGAGATTTGGGGAATGCAAATGATTCTAGAAAATTTGAGAGAAGTTTACCATAAGATGCTGAAATGACACTTTGTTGAAGACACAAGGTGGCGAAAGGAAATTGAGCCTGATCACATGGATATCTGTGATGATTTTTAAGTTCTTTCATTTTCTTGACTTCCTTGATGATTTAAATACCACTCTATTTATCTATGAAGTAGTGACTTGTATCTTTCAATTGTCATGCTAGACCTGCTAACGGAGGCAATGAAACTTGAGTCTGAGGTATTAGCTACTATCAAGCTTAACCCTGCACATCTTTCTGGTGGGCTTGATAAGCTGCTTAAGGATGCTTATACTATACGATGCCCGAAACCTATTGATTATTTCAACAGGAAGGATTTAATTCGTATCTTCAATATTATAGCAAAGGAAGTATATGGTAACCTTCCGTTACAAAGTTCGTTAAATTTCATCATGATTGTACATTTGCAGGGATAGTAATTTTTGAAGTCATCTTATGTTCCTGTTTCTATATGGCTGCGTATATGATGTAGTTCGGTGTGTTACAAAATATGCCATCTTTGAAACTTCCAAACACAGCCTAAATGTATTGCTTGTTTTTCTTCTAAGAAGCAGGATTTTAAGCTTGCACTTAATATTGCACTCCATGGTCATGCTGGCCTTTACCATATAAGCACAGCCCAATGAGAAACTACATATATATCTTATGAGTCTTCTCATGGACTATTTAATCAAATTGTCAAGTTATTTCTACCGTCTCAATTGATATGCTTTTGTTGATTTTTTTTCTTTCTCTTTTTAAAGAAAGTATCTGTTGTGAGGGAATATTCTTCATGGTGGCATTTAATATTTTACAGCGTCAGAGATAATCCAATATTGGCATTGTTGCAGTAATATTTTCAGACATTATAGATTGCATCTGAAACATTACATGCACAGTTATTATATTGTTATTGACTTATTATCACCTGTTTCTGTCTCAGGTTCCTTTACCTTAGTTTCAGTTGTCTTGAGATATAAACCTACTTTCCTTTAGATTTTTCTCTGTTTTGAACACGATTTAACCCTTTCTTTTCAGGCAATGGCAGTACCTCCCCAGTTGTGGAAGAATATGGCTCTTATGTTATGGATATGTTCTGTGGTGGAAGTGATCTGGATTTGTCTATAAATTTCAGAAACAATTCAAATGAAGTTCCTCGGCAGAAGAAAATTGAAACCCTTCGAAAGTTTGCTAAGAAGTTCCATAAATTTCAAAGTAAAATTTCCACAATATAAATTTGGTGTGCTTTACTTGTTGAGTTTTCTTGCTTAGGAAGTTAGTCAGTATAATTATTTATATTACTGCTCTATATTTTAGACTTGTAGTTATCGTGTGCTTTAATGCTTTGGGAGTAAAAAGGGGACTTAGGTAAGAACTGAATATATTTGTCATTATTTTGTAACTTGGCATTGGAGCTGTATCTTATATGAGCTTCCTGTAAAGATCATGTGTTTTCTGACTATTTTTAACAATACTTGTCGTTATCTATAGTCACTGTGAACTAATCCCAACCCATTTGAAGTTTGAACAATGAATTGGTTGGCCTATGTTGTATTTGGAAGCCTAATCAAACTGATGCTAGTAAAATACCATTTGTTGGTTATTAATTGAGGATTTTTATATATTCAGGATTTTGAATCTAAACTGGGTATTTAACACATCTAATCTCATTGAAAGTGATTGTGGATGTGCAGATCTTATTTCCTTTTCTTTGCAACGCATTCATAAGTCAAAAATTCTACCATCTTTGTTGATGAAGCTCAACATATTGACACAGATGACTTGTGTTTGCAGGAAAAGGAATTGTTAGAGGTGTACAGGCCATTCTGAATGCTAGGGTGCCAATTGTAAAAGTTATTGATTGTGGTACTGGCATTGAATGCGATTTATCAGTAGAAAACAGGGATGGCATTGAGAAATCTCATATTATTCATGCAATTTCTCTTATAGATGAAAGATTTCAGAAGTTAAGTTTTCTGGTAATTGAACATACCCTTCTCATTCAATGAGCTATTGCTCATTTTAGCTTCGTGATGATGCATATTTATTTTGAGAAATTCAAGCATATCTTATACGTTACTGGTCATATTTGTGACTTTTAGAATTGATAATACATAAGATTAATTTTGAAATGAAAAGAAAAGATTTGGCATTTGTTCAAGTAAATTGAGTGGTGATAAATCATCATATTCTCTTGACAAATAGAAGAACTCTTTGCAAGATGGTGAACCTAAAGTGCAAGGCAATTGTGTGGCCATCTGAAATTGGAGTAAAAGCCTGTGCTTTCTGATGTTAAGTTTGGACAATGTGGAAGTCAGGCCAAATGCAAGATTAACATACCTTTAAGAATAAAAACTAGGAACAACAGGAACTAAAGAATTTGGCAATCTTAGTTTCCTTGATCTTTTCTCACGGGTGGGATGGCTGGAAATTTTTTGTGACTCTTTTTCGCATGTGGCAGATGAAATGCTGGGCAAAAGCACATAACATCAACAGTTCCAAAGACCATACTCTGAACTCTTTATCTATTGTCTCTTTAGTTGCTCTTCATTTGCAGGTATTATGGACATTTTTTATCCGTTTTGTTCAGTTCACTGATATATTTTATCCTAATTATAAACCTTCAGTATTAGAGTTGGATTTGGTGCTTTTTGGTTCCATTTCCCAAGGAGGATATTTGGGTTTGGAATAGCTTTTCTTGACCTGTGAAATAAATGAGGACCTTTGGCCGACTTTTCTTGCTGGTAAAATGGTATAAAGGTTTCCACTTTTGGTAAACAGACATTTGCCTGTGTTGATTTAGTTTTCGAGGATACCAATATTGATAAATGTGATTGACAAACAATTAGACATTATTTCAAAGTTTGTCAATGGCTTTAAAAAATACGTTATGAAGATGTTTAAGAGTTAATATCTTCTGTTTTCTGAAGTTAAAAATTAATATTTGAAAAAGGTGTCTCTAGGTAATTTTGAAGTATTCTTAAGCTTTCAAAACTCGAAGCACCGTGAATTTTCTGTGAACATAAAGTTGTGGCTTTTGACGTTGACATGCCCACTTGATTCCCAAAATGGTTCCTTGTTGACTCCTGGTCTATAAATCTATAAATATATATAACTCTTGTTCTTTTTATTTAAATTTAATACTTATTTTATACTTATTTTTTTATGCAGACTCGCAATCCTCCTATATTGCCTCCATTCTCTGCTTTGCTTAAGGGTAAAACTTCTGCTCGTAGTATCAATAAATTCTCTTGAGATTTGATTTGTTTCGTTAAATCGTATGGTAACCGTTAGCCTTTATTATCTTTGCAAAGCAGCCGTGTCAATTGGAAAAGACTAAATATTTTCCTATTGTAATTTCTCTTTTCTTGTTTAGCAATTGCACTGTTGGACTTAACTATTTAAATGTTTCTGATAAGTCACTTAAGCTGGTCAGTTAAATATTGAATCTCGTTCTGTAAACGTGTAAAATCTGTTTTTTTTTTTAAATAGCTGATGTTTTAAATATTTGATAACGACTGCATTCTGCGTTAGTCTGTCATGAATGTCAGGGATATTAGTCTTATGTTTACATGGATGACCTAAGCCCCCATGCCCTGCTAAACCAAAATCTAAAATAAGACGAATTATTATTTCAGCCAAGAAATAAGGAAGGGGAAGAATGATTGAGATGCGACAATGAACGACTGACAAAAATCCTTAATGAGTTATTCTTGACACGCAATGGCCCATTGGAATTCATAGGTGAAAATAGGGTAGTAGGCACTTCTAAATTGGTACTGCGCATGTGCTCACATAAATGAATAGAAGTAATTATCAAATGTGTACTATATTACACAAAGGATACCAAACTTTTGAAACTTAAAATACTTTGTTTGCTCTCCATTTGAAACCTTAACATCAATTTTTACAGTTGGTATTTTGATTTTTTAGAGTTTATGTTTTTCAAAGTTGATTTTCAATATTCACTTTGACAGTCGTGTATATTTCATGTTCCAGATGGATCTGATCCAGCAGCAGTGAAGAAGGTTGTTAACGATTATATGTCCTTTGGGCAAAAAAACGTAGAGTCGTTGGCTGAGCTTTTTTTAACTCTTTTTGTCAAGGTAGTTACTATACTGTTTTGTATGTGGTTTCCTAATCTTAATAGATACCAGATTAATCCTAATCACCATCGAGTAAAATTGTGCATTGAGTTATACCATAATGTATTTAAGTTATACCATACTGTAGGTTGTCTCAATTCCGTGAAGTAATTATTTGATAACATCATTCCTACTTTAGCTAGCGTCAGTTGAAAAGCTTTGGGAGAAAGGCCTGTGTGCAAGCTTGCATCAAGGATCATGGATTCGTAAATCATGGGGTTCTCGTACTTACTCAATAAGTGTAATTGAATTCTCTCCTTCTCTGAGTAGTGAGAATCCTGCTGTGGTTAATGGAGTTGAATTTTAATGATTATTTCTGTCTACTAGGTTGAGGATTTTACAGATCGGTCTCAAAATGTTGCAAGAGCAGTTGGAACTGAAGAGGTAAAAACAATCTACAGATGCATTCGTGAATCTCTCAACTACTTTTCAGATTATCTGAACGGAAGGATGTTGGGAACTAAGTTGATTGATCTTTTGTTTGGAGGAGATACTCCTTCCACCACTGGCCTTGTCGGTGCTGGGAACATAGACAACAATACGAAGAATCTTCCTATTTCAGAAAATCAGCGTCCACCAAAAAGGCAGAGATTCGTGGAAGATTTAGAAAGAAAGCAGATTCAGAAACCTAGTGAGGGAAACTATCTTCCCCATGGTAATCAAAGAGCAGAGCCATGGAAAGGTTCTGTACTAGCCCATCAGGTAGATGTCCTTCAGGGTGGGACCTTCCAACCTCCTCCTGTTTCGAGTTCCTATAATAATTTGCCTCATGGTTACGGTCTAGGGACAGCTCCTTCTGCTTCTGCCCAAAATCTACTAGGTTTTGGAGGTTCTTTTAACTCCCCGCTACTATCAAATCTTGTTCCCCTTCTGAATTCCATGGGTTGTCTGGGGGCATTTCATCAACAACATGTCCATCCAAATCAATCTCTTGTACCCATTCATTCGCACAGTCCTTTTGTGAGTAATAATCTATATCAAGGAGAACCATCCAGTTCACATGCACAGAAGTGATAAATTTCCTTTTCTGCCCCTCTCTCGTTGTCTCTTGTATGTACATTGATTGTTACCTCTCTTGGTAAGACTACAGTCACTAGAATTCACAAGTAAACCACCAATCCTCAAGCCCCTTCTTGCTTGACTAACAAAAGGCAGTATTACGAAGAGATGAAGATGTTGACTAGCATCTAAATGTTGGAATCTGAAGTTGCAGAAATGCTTTTATGACGCAACCAATTGTTTATAAGGTAAACTTCTCGATCTCTAGCATATCTAAATTTTAGAAATTTAGTGAGAACTTGGGCTAGAAACAGAAAGGCACTAGTTGTTTGCTGTTTTTGATCTGTTTTTGGCTAATTAAAGCACTCCAATGAGTGTCTCTAGATTGAATAATTTATTGGCAAAGATTGATTTTACAGTTATTTTAATTGTAACATTAAATGATTCCCTGTTGGGATTAACACAGTGAATGATGAAATTTCAGAGGTGATTTAGTCAAATTGTTTTGCTAGACTTCAAAATCTCATTTAAATATATCGGTGAAACATGAAACTTTTCATTTTCATCTTCGAGAGATTGATTTCCTGTTAAAGTCATACTTGTGTTTGGAGTTAAAAGAGTTTCTTGCAAAATTTTGAAGACATATTTCAAATTCTGTTTATAAGACATTTTTAATTAAATTATGCGGATTAAGAAAGGTGGTTAAAATTAGTTAAGAATATTGATTTTTTAAAAAATTTCTATAAAATTCCAAATTACCCTTAATTACAATTATTAACTTTACCTTTCAATATTGAAGTCAAACATGGCATCCAAATGAGAATGGTGGGCATTTTTGAAAAACTTCATTAATGTTTCATCAAATTTTTTAAGGTATCTTATATTAAAGATTAAGTAAAATTTTTAGAATTCTTTATTAAGGACTGGTGGGGCATTTTAGAATTGCGCACAATCCCCTCCAACCTTAGAATATATATAACTCACCCATTTAATTATGAAATTTAAAAAAATTGGTAGCATTTAGATTATTGAATTGAATTTAAATTTTGGAGTTTAAATTTCAGAGTTAAAATTCATTTATTTAAAATCTTTTGTTTAGATAATTTTAATGGTGAAAGAGAGACCATATGAGATTTGAAGTAGAAAATAGATACAAAATATTAGGGATGAGGAACTTATCTCTATTTTTAAATTGGTGAGGGATGAAGATGAGAGATGAGATGGGAGGCAAAAGTAACCACTAGAGGGCTAAGGTAACTAAAATTTTAAATGAATAGGATTTAGAAATAATTTGAAATTATAAATAAGTTATATAAAATATCAATTTAGATCAAATCTAAATACATGCTACCCCGTTTTCAAATATAAGATCAATTAATTTATATTTGTTTGTTTTTTATTATAAGCAAAACTAAAATTTCAAGAAATATTAATTACATTTTTTCTAAATTGTCCCTTATAAATGGATAGTATCATACTATCATTAAATTAGATAAAAGTAAGCATTAATTACAATGATATTTTAGTCCAGGCATTTCAATTTAAAAAATTTAAAAACAGAGGGAGTATACTTTTTACGTATTCAAATAAAAAAATTAATTTAAATTTAAATCCAAATTCAAATACAACTTTAGGCTTTTTTTTTTCTAACAATATATTTGCAAATGTGATGAGCACACAAGATTTTTGAAATGGTAATGCGGTGATGAAGTGGAGGGAGAGCACGTTGAGGAGGATGAGAGGAAGACAGGGCAAATGATAGAGAGGCCATCTTGATCCTTGCATGTCAAAATTAACTTAGACTTTGGAATAGGGACTATAGAAGTATTTTTGCATTTTATGAGGCTTTAAAGTATTTAGTCTGTTTCCGTGGGACTCATGAGTGATTTTTCCTTGATAACTCTATTTTATTATTTATTTATTTCACCACAATCGGAGGCTAACCATCTGTCTATGCCAAACCGGAATCTTGTTTCGGAAATTTTTTCTTTTAACTAATCTATAAAAAAATAAAAGCGAAACTTCGTCGATAATTTAAGTGAATCCTCGGTATTTAAATGCATTTACCATTTTCATGATTTATATGTATGTATGTATGTATCTTTAAAATTGACATAAGGTTAAAAACATGGTCTAAATGTGTGTTCAGACATACTGTTCCGTTCAGGAATTTTGGAAGACAAACGTATGAGATACGAGCGTGCTGCTGCTGTGAGTCCAGAAGGAAATAATTGATGGAAAAACCAGAGCTGTGGGAAGTTTAGTTGTTAACTTCGACTGTGCTTTTGCTGCAGATTCTCACAGGTCACTTCCTGACGCTGGGCAGAGATGATTGATGCTGACTCACCTTTCTTAGCTGAGCTTCTTGGGTTAGCAGAGCCTGCTTCCCTCTTCTTGCAGATGCCAAATCTGGACGGCTCAATTTTTTTTTCATTTTATATTTTTTAAAATTTTTATGAATTATAAATTTTTTTAATAATTTACCTATTTATATAATTCATGTTTAATATGAATGGCCACATTTAATTTATAAAAATTATAAAAAAATTTAATATTAAACTTGCAATGTCCAAAATATATTCAGAAAGTTAATTTATAAAAAAATTTGATATTATACGTGGTCTATTCATATTAAATTTAGATTGTTCATGTGAATGAATGGATTTGTTAAATTTTTTTACAATTTATATAATTTTTTATTTTAAAAAATGTAAAATAAAAAGCATTACATATAAAAAAAATCTAAAAGTAAAAATATTAAATCTAAAAAACATTAAAATTTAAAATTTAAAATTTAAACCATTTAGATTATGCATTTCCTTAATGGGGGTGCAAAGGAGGGTTTCCTTCAGAAGAGGGAAAGTCAACTCCTAAAAAAGCACTCTCGGTTTGTAGTGATTGGAGAGACATCCTGCTCATCTTGGAGTTATAGAGGATACTTTTAATTTTAATTTTAAACTGAATGAATCTTCCTCTGATATGTTGCTTTGTAATCTGAGTTTTTGACCGATTCTTTGCATTGCATGGCTAATTCTTTGTGTGGTTTGAACCAGACCTCACAGTGATTAACTAGCTGGTTGATTGTCATCTTTTATGTTATTACTTGTTTCCTGTGAACTTGATATAAAACTATAATTTGATTTTTTTGTATATATCAAGTAGTACTTAATAGTCTAGATTCAAGCATAATAAAATCTCAAATGGAAATAATTATTTTCATATAGTAATTTTCTTCATCTGTGAATTTCAAATTCTCTATCTTTTTCAGTACATCAGTAAAGAACTACTCTCTTGAAATTAAGCTCCGTCATGCGAAGTTAATAAAAAGACAATAGGATGGTTCTCAAAGTAAAGAACTAATCATAGTGATCATCAATTTTATCTCTGATATTCTTGTGATCTTCATAGATCTTGAGGAACCAGAATGTTCGATGAAAAACCTACTATAGTAGCAACTTCTGTATAGACAATGAGCCCGTATGGATTTTAATTAGGTATAATTAATTAGGAAAACAATTGGTTAATATGATTGATTTTGATTATAATTCATTATATTATGATGCAATCTGTTTGGATACTATTTTTTTAAAATTAATTTTAATATAATTAAAAATATTTGGATAATTTAGTCAGAATTAATTTTACCAGTGCAAATTATCATAAATGACATTACTTTTTAAAATTAAATTATTGATAAAGTTGTACATAATATTATTAAATTTTTTAAACTTTATTTAAGAAGTAAAATATATTATTTAACTTATATATCTGATTAATTATAGAAATTTAAATTATATTAATATTAACATTTTAATTTATGTAAATAAATGACTCAATAAATCTAAGTTCAAATAAATTTTATAAAAGAGAAAGGTATAATTCTTAAAAATTAAACATCAATTTTACAATAATTAATGAAGATGATAATATATAAGTTGATCTCTAATGATATTACAGATATGAGCCATATCTTATGAAGGTGTTATGGATGATAGCAAGGATGAACATTCATCAACATGATGATCTTCCTCCTCATCATGCTCTATTCGATCTTCCCTTTCATGGCACATAAAATCAGAATCAGAATTAGATTGTCTTCTAATGAAATTATGTATTATCATTGTTGCAACAATGATTTGAACTTGTATTTTATAGTCGTACCTAGGCATATTGTGTAAAATTGCAAATTTGTTCTTCCAAACTCCAAATGTTCTTTTTATTGTGCATTGTAAACTTGAATGAAAATAATTAAAGACCTCATTAAGATTTGCAAATTTAGTTGATCTTCTAAAATCAAAAAGATGATAGCATTCCCACCTATACATTCCAAGATATCAATTTGGTGTTGGATAGCTGACATCCATCAAATAATATTTACCTTGTAAAAAAGAGATTATTATCAATGTTTGTAAGTTGAAAAGCCCAACATAAATAAATTAAACCAATAAATATACCTGAAGACAAATGTGGAAAGTTTATTGACAACCAAGTTGTCAAAGCACGATCAAAAATGCGAGCATCGTGTGTAGTACCCTCACATCCAGCCAAGACAAAAGCAAAGTATATATGCCAATCACACATAGCCATTACATTTTTGCATTGGGATTTCTTTTCTTCTAATATATTTTGATTTCTCATTGGCTAGGACTACACATGGAATATGTGCATCATCAATTGCTCCAATTGTATTTTTAAAAAATGGCCAATATCACTTACCATTTTTTTTTGTGTGTGACAAAAGGACCTATCTTGTGGTTTGATATATTCCATTGTAAGTTTAGAGCAAGCCATTAAAAGTTCATGGAAATGTCTGTGAATAGTCTCTCTTAAGTGTTGAAATCTTTCTTATGTCATCCTGTTTCCTAACCCATGTCCAATTATATTTAAAAGTATTGCAACCATTTCTTGTACTCTCATTTATTTTGTATCCTTCTGTCCATACTGTACCAATTCACTGTATAATTGATGAAACACATATGGCTCCATTCTAAACATTTCATAGCAACAAATTGAGTGTCCTTTTAAGATTTCATTCACCCACAAATGACTTGTATATTCACTATTTCTACATGGCTCTTTACATAAATGTCTTACTGCATCAACCTAATCAAGGGACCAACTTTTTGGGATTTTTTAACCTTTTTTATATGACTCTTCCATACTCCTTATGTAACATCTCAAATTTTAATCCTTGGATTACTAAGGAATTATTCAAGTTTAATCATGATAATTGAGTGATTTGATATGGTGTGTGGCAGAGAAGTCTAATAAGTATATTTGGTTGTGCTTTGAGCCCTACTTATGGGTTCAAAGTGAAAGCAGGCCACCTGAGCATTGAGGAGAAAACATGAAGGGATTGTCTTTGTGCCACATGCCATGACACTCAGTGCATCCACCGCAACGTAAAGATGAGAAACAATGAAAGAGCACCTCTTTATGCCATGCACAATGACACGGCATGTGCTGTGTGCCATAGTGCATGGCCAAAATTTTTTATAAGTGGCTCACAAGCTGAAACAGAAATTAGAAGAGGAAGAAGAGAAAAACAAAGGAGCTCGTTCTTGCTTTACTCAGGTTTACCATATTGATGGTTTGAGAGTATTTTGGTGCTAGAAAACAACTATGGTAAGTGTTCTACACTCCTTTCCTTCCTTTCTCTTCCATTTTCTTGAAGTTTTTAGTTAGGATTTGATAATGGGAGATAATTTTTGATTCATATAGGTTATAGGTCTGAACTCATTGACTCAAATAAAGTTAGTGAGATTTTTTTAAGATATTTAAACCTAAGATTAATGAAGTTACACATTTTGATAGTTATGGGTTCATTTATGGCTGAAAATGCCATTTATTAAGGTAGATAGACTTGGTTAGAAAGCCATTAATGGTAATATGGGAGTTTAATAAAGATATTGAGAGCTAAAGATAGTCAATAAACCTAATGGGTAGGTTTAAATGTGATAAGTAAAAGCATTAAGTAGGTCTAAATGTGAGAAGTAAAAGCATTAAGTATTTTGGAAGAGAAAATATGAGAGTTAGAAATGTGTTGTCAATAATTTTAATTAAGGTTTGGACTTGTTTATTGTAGATTAATTGTCCAAGCACTACTTTGGGCTTCAAAAGCAAGCTTGAAAGCTAGTTATTGAAGAATAAACCTTTGATCTCTCAAATGTTTAAGGTAATCGGGGGAACTGTATTTTGAATAATTATTTGTTAATTGAATGTTAATTGTGAAATGTGCATATTGACATATATAATTTAATTTTGAATGTGAAAGCATGTTATGAGCTTGATAATTGGTTAAATTGTGAATGTGCATAATGTTTTATATTGACTTGAAATGTAGAGTTGAATTCAAAGTGATTTTCAAAAACTATAAATATGTACATATACTGAGATGAGAAGTGTGATGATATGTGATGTGATGATTATGTATTGATGAAGAAATTAATGATTTAGTAAAGTGAAGAATATTTTTTAAAACAATATGAATGCTTACTTGGGTAGTGTATTATCATAAACCCAATGTGTTAATATTAAATAAATGAAATTGTGAAATGAGTCAGCATCGTTCATTGCATGATCATTTGGCGAGAATTCGCCTAAGAAGAAGAGTAGTTAAAATCCAAATGATATTTTCGATTGCCTCCAATGCACGAGGGTATAGCCTTATCCTATAGTTTGTCAAAGGACTAGAATCTAGTTATCTCCACCTTTTTATCGAAGAAATTAGCTTAAGTTATATGACACCTCAGAGATTTGAGAGTAGGAAAAGTTGTGGTTTGAAAGTGAGTTCTATAATTTTTGGCTAGGTAACACCTCATGATTGGTGAGTTTGGATAGTCCAGTCACACGGACGAAGTCTTGTTTGATATTATAGTCCATTGTTTCAATTGAAAGGTACAAAGAAAGTACAACGTAGTTTGATCACACATAAGTGTTTATCTGACATGTCACATGATTGTTTAAAATTGTAGCAAGTCATAATAATAAATTGGGCCATTATTACATATCTGTGTGTCTTGTGATAATATGCCGCATGATTTAAGATGAGAATTCTGAAAATGAATAAAATTGAGAAATAACAAATTATGTGTCCTGTAATTAAATGTTTTTGAGTAATTAACTCACTCTATGTGTTTAGATCAATTGATATATAACTATATGGAGTAGGTGTACCTTTGTTACTGAGTGGCTAAACTCATCTCTCTCTTTTTCTATTTTACAGGCTCTGGCTCCAGTATGAAAAGGAAAAAGCTACAGAGACTTAGAAATTTAAGATTCCTACTGCATAGCCTCTTGATTCTATTTTTCTCTGTAATATTTGATATATTACCAATTAGGTTATATTTTGCATATACTTGTACTTTTAATGTTTATGATTTTTGAAATATATTTTAAGCTTTAGGTTGTTGTTGTATGTTGCTCAAGTGTATTGTAGGGCTAAAATATTAGTATAAGTATAGGGATGTTCATTTAATTTTAACTGTGAATGTTGATATTGAAATGTAATGCTAAAATCTCCTTCTTCTATTTTTAGTATTAAAGGGGTTGAAAGGTGAAAATTTGATATGGTGGTGTTTATGTTCATATGGTATGTTGTATAAGTAATCTTAGTCCAATAAGTATGGTTTGAATGTTATGAATAGCATTTGACACATGTATGGGGTTTTGGACACCCCTTTATTTGTAAAAAATGAGAAAATTTGTGAAAATATGTTTGAGTGTTGAATTTCCTTATATGATTTAATTTGAAAGTAAAATCTAAGTCATTAGCTAGTATATGAAAAGAATTTTTTGTAGATACTTAAATCATCTCATTCAGGCATCAAATGGAGAAATGGAGCACGCTAAAAGTTGCACAAAATTGTTGTCAAATGATAGCAGAAATGCTGTCTGATCTCGTGCAACACACTGCAGTGTGTGACACAGAGTGAGGACTTGCAACGCATTGTGCACTACTCTATTTTTGAAACTATTATACTTTTCAATTATTTTTGAATCATTTCACTCTTCTGAGTTGTCTCCTGTTTCTTTAACATTGTTTTACTCTGATTAGTAGTTTAATAAATAATTTTGATTTATTTTAAATGACAAAAACTTTAGATCCCATTTCTATAAATTTTAAATTTGGTAATCTCTTATGAGTTAATCCCTTGATTATCTTAGATTTTGTTAGCTAACTGTGAGATTTTACACCTTCTTGCCTATAGCCAAATGCATAAATAACATGTGCACTTAATTTCAATTATAAATATATTTAAATAATTTAACTATACAAATAGCAATAACTTTTCCACAACATTAAAATACTTCACTAGCATATATAAAAAGTAAATAAATAGTTTAAAGAGTTACATAAATCAAATTCAATAATATAATACAAACATGTCAGACAAATCTTTAAGTAAGATAATATATTCAAAACATGTTTTAAAACCCCTCATAATCAATTATTTTTATAACACTTATATCTCAATCACTCCAACACAATCTCTCTATCATCCTTCATGGTTAAAAACATTACCCTTGCCTCTCGACACATGAAGAGTGACATGCATTGTGAAAGCCAACATTTGTCAACTGCAACTTCCTCCATTTGTTTGACTAGAGACAAGACTTGAGGAATTGATGTTTCCTTAGCCTCGGGATTCTTCCTTTATTATTTGAGCTATCACACTCATTGTATTTGCTATTTGACTTCTATTAAGTGCTTTTTTCTTTTTCTTACTGCTACTGCTTTTTGTTAGATAGGGAGGCGTAGTGGAAGATTAAAATTTTGAAGTCTCTATCATGATATAAACCGAACGAACTCGTTTAAGTCAAGGTGGATAAAAGAGTAAACTTTTTAATTCTTCAAATTTGGCATGTGTTCTTTTCAAGAGTTTGAATCTCAAGAATTGATAATGTAGATCTACTTCCTCTACTTGTATCCACATGAATAACTCTTTACCTCGAACAACATGCTAGCGCTCCTAACGTCCGTTCTTCTTTGAACGTTAGTTTTTCTTTCTATAAGTTATTTCGTGACTCTCAAAGTGTTTTTACCATCAAAACTTTTCTAACTATTTCCTGTTTCATAAAACACATCTCTATCTATATATAGTATATGGATTAGAATTTTTGTCTTTTACTTAAAGAGTTCACAAAAATTTAATTAAATTTATCTCATAAACTTAATTTAAGATATCATATCTAATTCAAATTTATCTTATAAATTTAAATTATAAAATTAATATGATATTCTCTCATATTATGTTAGTTATTAAATTTAATCTATCATATAAAATTAAATTTAAAACTAACATAACATAACATAATATAATATAATATATATCACATATACATATTACATTATATATATACATATATATTTCAAAAATATATATTATATATATTTAATTTTACATATATCATATACATATATATTTTGAAAATATATATATACACATAAAATTATATTTTAAATTTTATATTTCATATAAATATATATATATATATCAAATAAATATTCACACACACACACACACATAATTCATTCACTCTATATTACATTAATTGAATCTAGACATATTTCAAATTAAATGAACTTGGATATGATAGCTTGAGTTAAGCTGTTCTTATGTGCGACCCTGTAGGTCTATATGTAATTAGCAGTAGGCTAATTACGCTATTAGCCCATAAATCACAAGTGGCCTCTAACAAGACATTGCAATTACCCAATTTACATGAGGATCGATGATCTGATGTAACCTATCATGCAACTGTATCACATCCCTTTTGTCACGTAATATTTCGACCAAGCATGAGACATGAAATTGTCATTCTCCGTTACCTGATCGTTACTTTTTTAATCTCTAAGTGGACTAACTGTAGTAATGGAAAAACCCTTTTTGTTATAGCATGGCCATACATTTTTTGAGTCTTACTCATCGAGAAACCCATTAATATCTCTCACTTAATGTAAAGGGTAAATTTCATCTTAACTACTCATATTCCTCTGCATGAATATCACAAACTCAATTATAGCCTTTATAATCACCCGATCAAATGTAAATTTTGATTAGATCAAAGTTCAGTGGTCATCATATAGGAATCCATAATGTTCTCAAGTCAAAAGGCTTAGTGATATAATTACATATAAGATAAGCTTATGACTTGTATCTTGCAACTTTCTCATAGTGGGTCGGTCCAGCACCTTATACTCTTTCAAGTGCCTATGACTTTGATTTGTATCTCTATAATTAATCAAAGTCATACTAGTCTTGTTTCATCTATGATCTCTCATAGATGACTGACTAGAGACATTTAGGACAATCACTGTAGTTCGTCCAAGGATACAGTTATCATATTAAACATGCAATTGATATGATAATAAAAGAGAAATTCATTAAATAACAATATGCATAGTACAATGATTGGCCTTATGGCACAATTTCTAACACTTTCACCCCTCTTCCTCTTACCATTGCCTCCACTTAAGATTCCTTGAGAAATATTCAGAACTACTCTATTAAATTCACCATTATTCCAATAGTTCCTAAAATCTCATCACTATCTCTTATACCTTCTTCCATATCAATACCCTCATTTACCATACTTGGGTGATAGGCATCTCTATCCTCATCCTCATTCAGTCATTCCTATTGTGAAAATTAGGCAAAACTCCACTTAAAGGTGCCTATACTCTAGGTCTATTAGCTGTGGTACTTTAGAACAATTCAATTACTTCATTGGTAAAGGGTAGTCCTTTATTTTTGAATTTTTCATACGATATATTTTCTTGCACATACATTACTAATAATATTACAGAATATACAAATAAATAGAATAAATACATAGCCTCATATAATAATGTCATACCAATATCTTCTCCCACCAATCATTTGGAGCATCCACCATATTTTTTTTCCATAATGCCATCCCAATTCTATCTTATTAGAAATTAAGTTATCCCAAAGCTACCACTTTTTTATTTTCATATTATTCCATTTGTTTTTGAATTGCTGCTTCTCATTTTTTTTTCCAATCTTATCATTGAAGCTACAAATTATATTTTTCCATCCTGCTTTGGTAAAGCTACAATCATTTCTTTGCGATTTCCATGCTTGTTCCAAATATATTCAATAAATATTTTAGTATTTCTCAAATCTGAAGAAGCTTTTGACTTCTTATTATTATTGTACTATATAAGAATTAATTGTACAATATCACATATAAGCAAGTCAAATTAGTATCAAATTACTTGCCATGAAAATAAAAAACAATGATAGCTATAGATTTTAACTTGAATATATTGATGAATGTAAATCACAACTTCACAGGTAAGGGAAGCGGTGAACGTATTGAATAACAGTAGAAGTAATAGAAGCTACTTCACCTTCCGAGACTACCTTGTACAGAAACACAGCTTCTCTCTGCTATCACAGAGAGGAAGAGACAACAGAGTAAACTGCAAGGGGAAAAGTCATCATTTTCCAAATAGTACGGAGCTATTTGAAATTATTTTTATTTTAATATTTTGAAAACTGATATTTTATAAAACATATTTTGAAAAAAATAATAAAAAAAATATTTTTTTCATTCCTCTTTTGTTCTCTAAAATAATAGTCACATAACACTTAAAAATTGTTTTCATTTTTCTATTCTTTAGAATAATATTTTATTTTTTTTATTCTTCAAAATACTTTTTAAAAACACGTTACTAAATGAATTTTTTTATTCTTTTATTCTAGAGAACAGAAAACTGTTCCTAGAATAAGTTTCCAAACATGCCCCACATCTCTCTCTGTCTCTCTCCCTCCCTCCTTCCCTCCCTCCCTCTCGTTGCATTGTCGTCGCGCATCAACCTTCCTCCTTGTGGTTAATGACCAGAAAATTACAGTGAAGGAGGGATCTAACTGGGAATCTGTCATCATTACTTTTTCTATTGTCTTTTGTTGTTCCAACAATTTTTAAACACGCTTAATCTCCAACACGCGTAATCTCTAACTATTTTTAAATTTTTTTATTAGTTCTTATCTTCTTAAACACAACAATACAAATCATTCAAAACAAACAAGGAAAGGGGACAAGTCAATCACGCATTGTTTTCTTCACATCACTCTGTGTGTTCTAATCTTTGTCTCTCGCCTTTATAACCATTTTATAGCTTTAACAGAGATATCTCGCACACTCTACTTCAAAAAGCATATTATACTTTTATTTACTATCTTGCAATGAAGATATATATTGACAATTTTTGTTTCCAATTTGAATGAAAAATCAAGAAAATTGATTATGGTCCAACATTTCACATGTAAGTAGAATATTAATCATTTTCAAAGGGACCAAATACGTAAGAATTCTTAATTCTTTTTTTCAATTCAATGCCCTTTAAAACTCATCACCTAGTTAACTCCATAAGCAAGTAGAAAATCAAATTCAAGTGCCAAAAAGAAAAAATAGAGGAGAGGACAATGTTGCTCTGTTCAAACAATAAATGAAAACAGAGGCAGGTTGAAGGAAGGCATTTGTTGCTTCGCTCCTTGATGCAAGGATGCCTCAAGCTAAAAAATATAAAAGCATAAGACAGACAAAAAGAAAAAATGGACTTCACAGTACAACAAAAGGATATTATCATAAAAACAGATGTTACAAATCATATTCGCAAAGGTATATCGTCATGGAAGCCAACAGAGGAGAGGACAATGTAAATAAATGAATATAAAGCACTAGAACAAGAATAGCAAACAGACTTCCACGAAGTTTGGAATCCAATATCTATTGTGGAAGAAGATATCTCCCACGAGAAATCAAACCAAGTCAAACAAAAAGATATATAGTTTCTCAAAAGTGTTATCAGTAGCCATTGGTTGCTGAATCAATGCTAACAAGAACTAAATTCAGAGAAGAAACGATGAGTAAATTGAAACTGCTATACATTGAAACGAGAGGAGAATACCTCTTGATCTAAGAGTCAGAACACCGTAGTTTAAACAATATCAATCGGTCCCATTAAATTTAAACGACATAGCAACATAAATATTAAATACTGATGAATTAGGGAATGTGGAAGGAAACCTAAAATGATAGAAAACCAAAAAAGGAGCGCACAGATTCTTCCACAGACCAGATCGACGGCGGATGAAGACCAGCAGATCGAAGATGGGTTGACTAGATCAAGCCAACATGGACCTTCTACTACGGCTGGAGCTTGCTGCTGTTGGCCGAAGCTCGGAGATGACAAACGGCGACCTAGTCGACAGAGGGAGGAGGACAGCTCAAGAGAAGGAGCACATGATCCGCAGATGGGAGACAAGACAAAACGCAATGGCCGAAGATTGTTGCACTGGCCGTAGAATAGAGACGACGGATGGTGACCAAGTGGGGGGTGGGAGGACGACGGCAGAGAAATGGCACAAGAAGGAGATCGAGAGAGTGAGAGACGGGAGACGGGAGACGAGAGATAAGACTAGAGAAATAGAAAATCATGTGTAATACTACCGAGGGTAATATTGACAGGTGAGATTGTGACAAATAATTAATATTATAACAGTAAAATTGATCTGAGGAAAAGAAGCCTCCTAGAGCTTACTAGAAAACGTGATTCTAGCCTTAACAATCAATTAGTAAAATTTTGAGTTGTTTGGATAATTTTCATTGCAATCGATTATTTGTTCAATCCAGACAGCCCCAATATAGTTATGATCCTCATAGATCTTAAGGAACCAGAATGCTCACAGCCTTACTTAAACCGGATCTGTTCTGTATGCCCGTACCCCGAATGCTCGAAAAAATTTTCTGGTAGGATCTTCGTATAGTTATGATGCTGCTCAAATAAAAATACCCGACAGCTTTTACATAAAACACCGTATTTCTTACTAAAAACACATCGTTCAGTTAATGCTCCTAGTCTTCCATGTTTTCTGAATCTTCTCCATTTCCATCTTCATCTTCAATGTCCTCTGAATCTTCGCCATTTCCATCTTCATCTTCACTATCTTCTGAATCTTCTCTATCTTGATTCTCCTTCATCTTGTCATCATTTTTTCCTTTGCCACTATCGTTTCCTAACAAGAACAGGGAAATCCAACACATATTTCATCAACAAAAGATAACCGCAACACTAACAACAAGCTTTATTCCACTAAGTGTGATCAGATATGTGAATTGTATGATACTGTTGTACTCTATCAACAGCCAAATTCATCAACAAAAGACACGTTTCAAAAATCATGATTAAGGGAAAAAGAAGAAATGGAGCCAAAGAAAACTGTCACAGGAATCATGTGTGGTCTCGCGTATATGAAAACCAGGTCAAAATAGAGTGGTGATGAAACCAAGCACGCACAACGCAACCATCTGATGCAAATAGCAATCTCTAGTCTACAACAAGAGATCTAGCAAGCATCATTACTTCTCAGGCAGTTATTTCTTTCAGCATCAATAATAAATGTTTAATGAAAGAATTCTGGTTGGTTTCTTAAGGTTTAAGAGAGAAAATATGCTAAACAGCTGATAAAACGGTGTTAAGGTCTGGATGCCAATGCTCCTATTTATCAATTTACCATGCCTAGTAAATTAAGAGATACTGTACCATATTCACTGAAGAGTACTTCACCGGAACACAGCCCTTTCTCAACCTTGATTAGTTTAAGCGTCATCCTGGGACCGACCTCTTGAAGCTTCACTGCACTTTTTGTAGAAGCACGATTAACTCTACCAAGGTCACTTGACAAAGTCACTGTTGCTGCTTCATCGTCTGCTTCACTCTCTGATCCATAACCAGCCCTTTGAAAGCACAAATAAACAAAATCTTAGAACAAGAACAAAAAGAAAGAGGAATATTCGATATGATTAATTATTTTCTGTACTCAACAAAATTTTTCGCTCATTTCCCAATTCCTGTTCTTAGAATGTAAAAGATTCTCTTTAAAAAAAAAAAATTTGTACAAGAGTACAGTTCAAGAAATATTTCGGAAGAGAAGAATCCTTGAAAAACCATTTGGTTAATTCATATACACAACTGCCCAAGACGCCAATCTCAAGTTCTCGGATAAGTAATTCAGAAAATAAAAAGGCTGCAAATGGTCAGGAAAGCCTAACCACAAATACCATAAATAAATGATATTAACTGTCTCCCAACCCATCATCTAAAGATAAGAAAGAATAAGAAATAAGATGGAAAGCAAGTATCTTACTTTGTGATAAAATCACTCACATCATGAAGATTCCTTAAATCAGGGACTTGATGGTTTTGCACAAATTTTCTTATTCTGCGTGAAACACCTACAGGTTGTAATCTTATGGAATAATGCCGAAAATCAATGAGTTTTGTGTCTTTGTTGTAATTAAGCAGCACAATTCTCTGGCAAGAAGAGAGTTTAACCTGAAATAAAACATTAAGTAGCAATAAAAGATGAAGGAATTGAACGTTAAGTCCATTAAATGCTGTGGGGTTTAAAACTTACAGTTTTAACATCAATTGTTGGGAATATGTTCTGAAACATGTTAGTTGTAAGCTGTAGAGGAAGTTCTCCGCTCACAAAACCAGAAAGCACAATCTACCAAAATAATTAACCAGCATATTAAATAATCATTTCTCAACATTCTACTAGCAAACTGTAAAATCCGGAAATAGAACAGAAAAGCAAGTGACCATCAATGAACACCCATGGATAAAATATTTTACCAAAGCTGAATTTTTGAAAAGATCTTTAGGGCACCGAGGACGCAATTGAGACTGAGCAATATCAGCTGCCAATGAGTATTCATTTATTTTAAAAGTAAGAGTAGGTCCTTGAGGGGTGGTTGCAACCCTCAAATAAGGTGCAGTTGCCGTTTTTGACAATATCACGAAATGTGTAACACCCATAGGTCCAGCAACATTCAGAAAGTCTTTTAGATTGTTTCGCTTCTTTTCCTACAAAAAGAAGAAAAATGTATAGTCAACAAAAAAGGATTTAACTAGTGCTATCAAATACACGCAGAGTGCAGTCTGCAGATTCCTAAAGAAATTTAACTTCCAATAATCAACTTTAACTTCCAATAGTGGCTAGATTCCTAAGCTAAAAGTGAAGAAGCGATTTTCTTTGTTGTCTAAACTCTTCATGGTATGACAGTCATTTCCAACCCTCCAATGGTTTATTTCACAGTCAAGTAGACACTTCATAATAGTAAATTCTAAGAATGAACAGTTTATTAAGTGACTTCCACACAGATAGTACTTCACAATTAAAACTAAATTTATTCTTCTCACAGCTTGATTAATCTTGTTTAGACGACACATACAGCAGGATATGAATAGAAAACAGAAAAAGTAAGAAAGGATCTAGAAACATCCACCTTGAGGTTGAGAGCAGTATAAGGCAACATCAACTTTCTCAGGTCCATCTGAAGTTGCCTGAGAGGACCAGGCAACTTCCCTCTTGAAAACACAAAACTCTTTGGGATCTTCTTTCCCGTAATAGGATCCACAGACGGCTGCTGTTGTTGCTTCTGATTCCTGATGACAACAGGCTTCCTAGAGAAGTTCTTCTTTTTCCTCTGTTTCATTCAAAAAGGATAATGAGTAACAACAAATGGTGAAGCCAAAGCTAAAGCCCATAAAAAGAGAATAACCAAAAGGGGAGGGGATTTTGGTTGGATAACCAAGAGAGACTTGAAGAAAAGTAACTCCCAATACAGTAATAAGACAAGAAAAGCTTTAAACTAAGTGTTAGCTCCTGGTTTCCCCTCCATCTGACTAATTTAAGGACCGTTACCAAGGTGGTAAAGAAAGCAAGGATACTTGAAGAAAGGACAAAAAGGAGCATCTCATCTTACCATAGTTTGGGGAAAAGTGACTCTGCGGATCTCAAAGGCTCAAAGCAATTTAGTCCCTCTTACTGCAGTAGTCGATAGAGCCTGGTAGGGTAAAAAGAGTTGCTGCGACACTGTCGAATCGACAATCCAAACTCAGCATTAAGCCCAGCAAAGTTTCGATCAAACAAAGAGGTGGAAAACACACCTGAGATAGAAGCCAGAAGAAGAAGCCGCAGATGATGAGGCAAGGACTGCGGCGCCAAAATGACATGACAGAACTTCAAGCTTCAGGGCTTGCTTCAAACGTCTATCCACGAAACGCACTCATTCTTTCCGTTTTGCAGACGTGATTTTCCTCTCAAACGGCTTTTTCATTCAATGTGACTGATAAAATATTTTTTAAAATTTTATCCCTAACCTAACTATTTCTCACAAAAAAGGAAAGCACACACTCATAATGCGGGTTCAAATCCAAGGCCTCTTTTTTTTTTAAAAAACAGAGAGAGAGAGATATAGCATTACTGTTAGGATACATAATTATTGATAACTCACAAAATATTAGAAAAAGGTGTGTGTTTGGGTTAGAAGTTGTAAAATTGAAGTTAGGATTAAAATCAATTACCAACATAATTTATCCTTAATTTTTTTCAAAAGTCAGCTTGATAAATTAAAATTTTTTAAAAAGATGTATAATTATTTTTTTGAAAATAGAAATATAATTATTGAAAATGACAAATTTTATGATTTATTTTTGTTTCTAATTTGATACTTTCAAAGAAAAAAGTATTAAACTTTAAATGTATGTGGTTTAGATGTATACTTAACATTGGTTTTAAAACCGAAGAGAACTTGCCAATCAAATATGTAACTTGGCCTTCTATTCGGTCCGATTTTATATTTTAGAGTAGAATTGATTGACTTGAGTTAGCCTAAATGACTTGAAATTAACCCAAATCAACCTGTCTATCCTCACGGGTTGGGCGAGTTGATATTTTTTGAAAATTTTAACCCCCAAAATCACATCATTTGAGTTTAGAATATATAGAAAATTTAAAAATTTAAAAAAAGCTAAAAGCCCTAAATGAATCTCATTCTCCATCTTTGACTTTTCTCTTCGACCATTTGCTTCAATCTTCCTTCATCCTTCCATTGCTCTACTCTTGCTCTTTGTCTTCAAACGAACACCTGAACCTCTTTCTTTTGGACTCCTCTATCACATCTTCCACTCTTTGAGCTCTGAGGGTCTTGTCTTACTATCTTCCATCATCCTTGAGAGTGAGCTTTGAGCATCTCATCCCTAAGAGTGAGTTTCAACTTTGATTTAGATATTCTCACCACTTTGTTTGCACTTCATCCAATGAATAAATTGTTAGCTTATTCTTATATATATACTCATTTTGACTGTAACTCAAAGTATATTTAATCGTTTCATGTTAACTCTTTATAGACAACATTAATAATAACTTTAATTGGTTAGTGATGACAGTTTTTATTGGATAATATACCCTACATAAATGCTGTTTATTAGATCTCACGCATCAAAGACTGCATGCGCTATTTAAGGGACGGGAGTGAAATTGGCGCGGAGCGCCCCCCCCCCCAAACACAGACACGCGCACACGTAACTTGTAACATCACGCATTAAGTTTTTTGTTTTTTTTTTTTTGGGTCAATCGCGCATTAAGTTGATATTGCTCTTTTCTATCACGTTCTGATCTCAAGGTTATGAAGGGCTTTTAGCATGCTCCATCGTTGACATTGAATATATATACTGCTTGAATTAAATATGAAATGTTATCTATCACGATGTCTGAGTAAGCCATAATATCATATGGATTAAGTAATTGAAAAGTCAAACTCAATCAACAATCTAAATAAAAAGGCTAGCCCATATCTCAAGAGAAAGCCTTGGCTAGATAAATACATCGAAATTTCATTAGTTGCAAATCCACTCATTAGACCATTGGTGCATAAAATCACAATCTCAAACGGTCTTGAATCTCGTGGGGACATGATCATTATTCTCAAACAACTCAGGGGCATGGGTTGGTTGTTCAATAATGGAACGTGTTGATAAAAGACTGTGCCATGCATTTCACAGACCATGCGTAAGGAATCCTTGATTATTCACAAGAACGTTTCAAATTCCACGGGAGTAACCACCATCATTTTGTCATTATAAATAAAGCAACAAATCACAGAAAAAAGAGAGAACTCTAAAGACTTACACTTGGCACCTATAGCTCTTAAATTTATCAGAGAGTTTTTATTTTCATTCTGAACTTGTAATCATTTATGCTTTGTAATCTTTAGTATCAATCAAACACTTATTTTACTAATTCTTATATATTTTTTACATTTGAGTAAATTGTGATAAGGGAACTCGAAAATCTCTTATCATATATTGAAACTCAACATTTCTAGCATGTTTGATAATTTGTTATTCCTGATGAATGTATACATATGTGTGTTTTTGTATATGTATAATAGTTAGTCAATGGGATGATGGAAGTCTTTGTTTTAAAACAAGGCAATGAATTATTAAATAATATTTATTCATCTATATATATATATATAGAATGACAAGTTTAGGGGGGCAAGGAGGGGCCAATCCCTACCTCCCACTTTCATATTTTGTTATTATTTTCATATTTGTTACTTGTAAAATAATATTGAAGGATTTTTAGCCCCCCATCCCCCTCTTATTTTCCCATTCTTGTCCCCCCCCCCCCCCCCAAGTACCTCATCTTGGATTCGTCCCTGTATATATAGGAGATGTTAACCATGATAAAGGTATGAATTTACTGCCTCAGACTTGTATATTTGTTGGGCTGTCAAGTATGGAAAAAAAAATCCCGCAAGAGTTGGGCGGAAGAAAAAATATATATTTAAGAAACATCCATCAACTCAATACTTTAACATTTGGAGTTAAAATATGATGTGATCATATTTATATGTATTCCCTTAGAATCATTTGTGGCACTAATTAACCACATTAAATGATAGATTTGTTGTAGATAGCCTTAGAAGAAAATAGTTACCTTATAATTTTTAAGGATAAAGATTCTTAATTTTCGAATGAGATGAATGTATGATTTGTTTGGATAGGGACTAGGGAGCTAGAAGGCAATCTTCTTTTATTTTCTTTTGCTAAAAATAGTATGATTTGTTTAAGAATTCATTATTTTTTCTCGGGGTTGTTCAAAAGGTATCTATATTAATTTATGAGTACGGGCCTTGCAGCCTTAAATTGATTCCAAAAAAAAAATTGCTTCTTTTAATCCTATTTATAAAATAAAAAAAGAAGAATTTTTTAATTTTATTTATAAATTATGTCATTAAATTATTATTATTATTATAAATTTTTTTTACTCTTCATTAAATGTTGAAAAAAAAAAATATATTATTGAAATGTGTATATTTAATAAGGATAAAGTTGAGAACTTATTAAATTTTAAAATAAAATAAATGAGTTTTAAAGTTTTTTTTTATATTGATAAAATATGTTAAAAGTGACTTATAAATAGAATCAAAAGATTGTGATACAAATGAAAATCTTTTTTTCCAATGCCAATGATATATTGATAATCGACAATTTTAAAAAATGTTAAAAAGGAAGAGAGTCAAAGACTATTAAGAGTTTGGCAACAAAAAAGGATTATTTAGAGAAAATTAGAATTTTAAATTTGAACATCAGCTATTTATGTGGGAAAAAATCGACTTTTACGGGAAATGAAAATGAAAATAACTAATAGTCCTTGATTAAATTAGTAGAGGGATTAGATGCTTTGTTTGAAAAAAAAAAACTGAGACAAAAATACAAGCAAGGGCATGTGTATATGCATCCAACACAATCCCTCATAATAACTGGAAATTAATATGCAATAAACCATAACCAGAAATACGGGAACATATTTCAGATCATGGACCTCGTACACCATACTATAAATTCTGCAAACCCTTGTTAACATGAACCTAATTCAGTGTAAGAAATTAGAAATTAAAGGAAGAGTATTCTGAGAGAAGAATGTCTGCATTTGTCACGAAAACCATCCTCGTGGCACTCTCATTGCTTCTGGTAGCATCAGATTACAATTCCAATGCAACTAAAGTGAGAGTGAAGAACAATTTAGACGAGGGCAAAACCCTAACCCTAAGTTGCACATATAATGCAGCAAATAATACCAAGTCAGCGCCGGTGGACGGAGTTCTTCAGAGCAATCAAATAAAAGAATTTAGTTTCAACTCAATTGCTACTCCGAGTATTGATTGCACGTTCAAGTGGAAAGATACTTCTCACTTGTTCCCAATATACGTTGATTACAGGGATAATCCTTATTGTCTTACTGAGTGCACTTGGAGTATCAAGCCAGATCGGCCTTGTAGGGTGGATCCTAACTATTCAGAGATTATATATTACTGTGATACTTGGATCAAATAATTCCTATAATAAAATGCTTGTAATACAGGTGATGTGTTTGTTTGGTCCTATGAATAAAACTTATAAGCAAATAAATATTTGTCTACCTTATTGTTATCGTAGTTTTCGTGACCAATTCTACTTCATTGAGAAGGATGAGATTTTCTTTTCTGCAAAAATCAAAGGGGCCCAAAGGAAATGCATCACTACGGAAGTGTAACATCTAAGAATTGCAAATTTCTAATTCGTCCTTGGTTTGGTGATTCTAAGTTATTGTAACAAAGTTATCTTTGCAGGATGATGGGTTAAACTTGGCAGGCATATCCACCCAATTTTGTTGGACCCAACCCAAAAATTATGATTTGGGTTGAAAAAATTCTGCCAATCGTAGGCCGTTTTTATTTTTTTAAATTACAATTTTGTTGATTTTTTATTTTTTTAAAAAATATTATTTTGTACTTCTTTCTTTCTTTTTTTGACTGAAAAAATACATTCATAATTAAAACAAGATTACATCAATGATATATGATCTATTGAATCATCCTCATCATCCACCACATTTGATATATTATTTTTGTATTTATTTCAAGCATAGCTTTCGTTTCATGTTAGAAACTAATTAATTGATTCCGCATTTGATATATTATTTTTTTCTCAGAGATTTATCATTTTTATATTGATAAAATAATTATGTAAAATAAATTATTTGTTTATATTTACAATTTTTGAAGTTTATTTAATTTAATCATATATTTTTATAAAAGCAAGGCTTAAATACTTAGTTTTATATATTTAATATACTTTTATCTAATGAAATCAAAACAAGTAGATTTTGATATGTTAATATTATTAATAATAAAAATTTATTATAGAATAAATAATATATAAAAGATATATATGTCTTGATTTAATTAAAAATAACTTACATTTAGCTTATCACTAGTGAAAAAAAAACATTTTTAAAATCACGGAAAACAACTTACATTTAGTCTATCACTAGTGGAAAAAAACATTTTTAAACCGGTTAAAGATGTTTTTCTAAACCGCTTTAGTTTACTTAAGGGTAGTTTGGACTTTCTAAGTGCCCCTAAAAATTGAGCAGAACATTCACTATCACAATTTATAACATTATAGGCATATTTTTCTTGAAAACTATGGCAAAGGTGGTAAACAAAAATGTCAAGATACGCAATAATTATTTTCCCAACGGATCCTCTAATGCCCATTTGTGCGAGCAAGAGGGAGAATGTCGTTGATTATTGTGGGGCCCCCTTATAACGACCAACGTTGCACCAACAGACTGTACTCCTTTCCCTCAGACCGCATGTATGGTAGGACGGGAAAGGTTCGGTGCACTCGGGCGTAGCTTTGGATATATTGCTTGCTGGCGCTGCTTGCATTGGCGGGTAGTAACAGGAGCAAGTTTTTGCATGCTCTCGATTTCCCCTTTTCTGTTTGCCCTTTTGATTTGAACATAGCCTTAGCTCAACTCTCTCTGGCTCTCTCTGTCTCTCACCATGTTCTACTCTCACCAGCTTCTTGCTCGCAAGGCTCCGCTCGGTCAAATTTGGTATTCGCCTCACTCTCATTTTGTGCCACCTCTTTCTCTGGCTTCTCTTAGGCAATTAAACTTGTCATTTTCCGATTATTGTGGTTTTCATGAAGTAATGTGGAATGTCAACTGTGGTCATGGTGATCCAGACCTGTTTACATCATTGTTTCTTTGTGAGTGTATTTGCCGTTTTAACGTGGGTTCTATTAAGCCAGTTGCTCTGTGTCTGTGTTTCAAGTGCGTTTTAACTTCGTTCTCTGGCAAATGAGTAAATATGATCGTAACTTCTCCGTCGTTGTGTTCTTGACTAAGGATGGCTGCGACGATGCACGCAAAAATAAACCGGAAAGGGCTAAACAAGCTTAATATTATTAAGATCTGGTAAAAATTAGTTTTCTGAGTTTCCCTCTTCTTGTCTTGACGTATTGTTTCTTATCGGGCTGATTCTCTGATATTACGTCCTCTGTTTTTATACAGCGAAGAGATTTTGAATCCATCGGTTCCCATGGCTCTCAGACTCTCTGGAATTCTCATGGGTAACGCACACACTCTGTCTACGATAATTTTAGCTTCCATATTAATTGCTAGGAAATCTCTTCTCATCACCGTTGTACTCAGGAGGAATTGTGATTGTTTATGAAAGGAAAGTGAAGCTTCTTTACGGTAACCTGTCAATCCCTTATAGCTGCTTATCAATTCGGAGGATCACTACTCAATCATGATAACATTTGATCTCCGTTTTTTTTTTCATGTTTTAATTTTTATCTTGTCATAATATATTTGCAGATGATGTTACCCGTCTTCTGGTACGAAGTTCAACTTGCATATTTCCTGTTGGTTGAGCCTTTAATCCTTTTCTTCACTAAAACCTTCTCCGCTTCAATTGGCTTAGCTTGAAATAAATTCAGCGTGGAGGGTGAGGACAGTCGCAGACCCTACAATACTCCCTAAGGGAAAATCCAAGGCCAAGTCAGACATTCTTTCCCCAATTTATTTTTCATTTTCCTTTCTAAAAGTCCAGATTAGCTTAGATAATAACGACGCAACTTACTTATTGATAGACGAAGCACGTGTTTTATTCGGTGATATAATTACGCGTTTCAGAGGGGAGTAGCGGAAGGCTAGGAGAAGGTCAACTTGTAGAATATTCATTTCTATATTTTTTGTCTGCCTTGTGTCCTATGCAGGAAAGAGTTTATTACTTTACCTGAGAATGAAGAGACAAATGTTGGAGACATGGAGCAGTCCGTGAACCCCATGGAGTTTCTTCAACATGATGCCTATATCACCATGGTACCTATATCACTTATTTACTTGGGAGTTTTCCATTGGATGGTTTTATCCAATTACGAAAAAGACGACGAAAATCACTTTTTATGACAACTGCTGTAACTTATTCCTATTTAATAAGTACGCGAATAACAATCTCGCTTGAAAACGGACTTACGCGAGTTAATCGGCAATTTTCTTTCAAGAAAAAACAGAAATTACCACCAGAGGACTAATTGAGATCTCCAAAGCTGAACTCCGCAGGAATAAAGATTTTAACGATAATCACAACATGGTGAAGGAGTTTTTCTAGAAGTGTGATTCAAATAATGAAATCCTCCACACAACTTGGAGCTGATCTATGAAAAAATTTCACGTTTTTGCAGCGACTTGATAGTGTGGACGAACCTTATATTTCTAATGAAGCAAAGGAGCAAGATGCATCCCAACCTCTTCATCAAGGTTTTTCTACTTCAATGTGCTTAGCATTTACATACCGCGCAATTTGTTCAAGTGCTTGCATACTGACTCTCATCATTCGCAGCTGATGTAGAGAATATTACCTTATCTGAACGTTTTGAATCATTCCAAGCTAATGCGGATCCACATTATCGCTTTGAAAGGTTATTTAGTTTTGCTGTCCTTATTTTGTTTACATGAATTCTTTATTAACAGCTTTCCATTGTCATTTTAAGGGGGAAGATTGTACTGTATATGCTTGTTAGAATTGGGATACTGTTATATGTATCTATTCTCTAGTTAGTTGAAGCCGGCATTAAGATAATTCATAATATTATCATCTCATGTATTATTCTTTGTGAATGCTGAGGCAGGTTTGATATTGAAGGAGATGAGACAACGCAAGTGAACTTTACTTATGGAGATACTACTCAAATTCCAACACTTATACCCTCCCCTCCTCACCAAGTTGATCCGACAGGAGGTGACTCGCTTAACTGCTCATAAACAATAAAATCTTTCATAAGGAAGCTTTCCTGCCTTGTTGAAATCATTGATATATTAAGAACATAAACTACATACTATCTTCACGTGCACTTTTTTCCTGTAATTTCTATTTTGTATACCCAGGCAACGGCAATCAAACTAACGCAAAATACTGGCATCTAAGTTAAAAAAGGCATAATAGTAACAACAGTAAATTTAATTTATTCAATCACAATTTCTTGTCATTATCACTACAAAATTCCTTTCGTTGCTGTGAAGTGTGAAAGATGCATCTATGCTATCTATTCTCAGTAAAATCCGAATTCTGTTATGCTTAACTGCATATGTAATGGTTAAATCCTATGCTTGGGAATTCAAAGAAATTTTATTTGAACTATTAGAGTCACATATAGCATTAGGATTGTAAGAAACTTTAGACCAAAACACCTACCCTGTACTACCTGAGCAATCCTACATCTTTCCCTGTCCCATTCCTGGAGGAGTTGAACAACAATAAACTAAAAGTGAGGCAAAATATATAGTGCTAATTTTCTTCATATGGTTGTCTGATTTTTGTGAGAAATTTAGCTTGGACTTGATGAGTTCTGGCTTCAAAAGTGATACTATATGACATACATTCTACAAGAATTATGTTATTTTGGAAGGGGGGAGGAGTGAGTAGTCAATTCTTCTTCTTATCTGAAATGTGCTTCTGAGAAAGCATCGTGGCAGTATTATTAAGCAAGAAATAGCTAGTGGCAAGAAAGTAGAGAGTTTGTTTTCCCGAAATATGGAAGATGCTATTATATAAATGTAACAGTCTCGTTCCCTCTCATCGTCAAAGCATGTCCTCTTGATGAACTTGACCCCAGTAGCTTATAAGATTTTGTTCCATGGCTACTTGTTTCTAGTCATGCATACATACTTTCTGTTACCAGTAGTCCTATTGGAGACTCAATTCCAGACAAATGCTGCTTAGATTAAATAACCATTGTCAGCTTAAAAAAGAAAAACAAAAACAAAAAGGCTTTGTCCATCTAATTTTTCTGGAACAGACATAATTCAAGACCAACATCCAGGATCCCAAGTCAATCAGCAATCTGATCAACGCATGGAAGAAAGACAGGTAGTATGATCATTTATCAATCCGTGATCACTGATGCAAAGAAAAAATGACCATATCATTGAGAGTAAATGAAACAGGAAAAGAGAAGACGAGGCCTTATGAAAAGGAAAAGAAGACAACCAGTAAGAAATGCAATGGATTATGAACAAACTATCATTCCTGTTCATTTATACCAGTCATGGCTGCAAAATGCTTCTGATATAGTCTCAAGAGGAAGGAAGAGAAAGGTTCGTGGTTTACTATAATATGCATCTATATATCTGTCCATATGTTTTGCATTGGAATGCATATACATTTGTAGTTTCATTGTTTTAACCGAACATTCGAGAAGAAAAGATGAAGAAATGGATAATTTTTTATTAATTGTTTTTGCTCTAAAATATCTGATGGGGAGCGGAGAGTCTAACATCATAAACAATGGAGAGGAAATGAAGGTATGGCGGTGAATAATTAATTAGTCACTAATTTGTGCAATACAATCCTGTTTCTATTCTCTCTTGCAGCGCTCTGATATCACATCTAGAAGAAAGACAGCTAACCTCATGGAGCTGCCTCCGGTTGTGCTAATTGGTAATTTATTTACAAGCGGAAATAGAGATGTGTATTATCCGTCTCCTATTCTAGAGTTATGGTATAAGAGCACTCAACCTTCCCAGGAGTCACCATCAGGTCACTAATTTTTTCTTCTTCTTTTTTTTCCTTTCTTTCTTTCTTTTCTTTTCTTTTGTTTTTGTTTGTTTTTTTTTTTTTTTTGTGCGTGTCGATGTGTGTGATTGGGAGAGGGGGAGGGAGCGTTTTAAATCAGTTATCGCTAACAACTTACTTAACCTTACCATCATAATTCAATGAAGAGAGGACTTCAATACCCCAGCCTCCAGAGCCCTCGTTTTCGTCACCTCCAGGATTGCATCAAGACGATTTTGTTGGAATTGTAAGCTACATCCATTAGCTCTCTGTTTATTCATTTTAGAAATATATTTCACTTATTTCTCTTGTATGTTCCAATGTGAAGCCCGTTGTAGATTTTCACAGTGGATCAGACGGTCTATTAACATCGAAAGAGAGGTTCCGGGACAATGTTCTTGGTACTGGAAACTTCATGGATGAACTGAGGGCCAACCTTGACAATGGTTCAAGAGCGCCTAAAGCAGCTACTCCTAAGGTTGCGTCAAGAAATTCTGGTATGTATATATATATGTGTATGTATATATATATATCACGTCTTGGTTTGGTTATGTTCGGTATTCCGTTTCTCTAAATGAGGTCTTGAATTGTCTTGTCTATGATTAGAGGACATGCCATATAATTTGTTCTTTCCTGTATTGTTTTAGGAGACAGTGCAGATTGCTTTCCAAGATCAGTATCTGAACATGGCCCACTATCTGAATATGGCCCAGCATCTGATCATGGCCTCTCCTCAGATTCAGAGTTATTTATGGGAAGGTACTGCAATTATCGAATAGCTAATTACCAAACAGTTGAGTAAAATGACAAGTAAATAAACTGTAAACCGTTCATTATTTGTTTCAAGGAATGGTCATTCTTTGGCCAAAAAAAGGATTAGTCATTCTATTTTTTGATATCCGATGACCTTTTAGAGTTAAAGAATTGATCTTGTTTAAAACATCTGTGGTTAATTAACATACGAGTACTGGTAACAGTTTCAGGAAGAAAAGGCATTCAAGCTTAGAGCCAGTGGCTGAGAACGCGAATTTCAAGTTTGCTGGGTTGTCTGATTGTGGTCTTACGCCTGATCCAGGTATATTATATTTTCAAATGTTTTAGAAATGTTGTATAGCTAGGGTGACGTTTTCTTAATCCACTTGGTCCATTTGTCAGCCTCACGAGTTTATTTGTAGAACTGTTAGTGGAAACGGTACGCACGCAGACGCAAGTGCAAGTGAACATTAAAAATGCTTTGGACAATATGACTGATTCTATTAGAACGTACGATTCTATTTTAGGACTTTGCTTACTCATAATAATAAGAGTAATTTTCAGTAGAATAAATAAGTAATGAATATTTCTTACAATGATTGAATATAAACAGGCATATAAAAGCTCATTTTGACACGCCAGGAGCTCCTCAAATAGAATCCCTCCATGTCCTTGCAGCTGGAATGACTCGGAAATCTGCAGCCCTACTTTTCTATCAGACTTGTGGTATATGTATACATATTGCTCCATATTCGCGTTTTGATATTTTGGTATTATTCTTTTTAGCTTCCCCATCTTCTATGTTGTCACTGTGTTGTGTCATGTGTAGTTCTTGCCTCCCGTGATGCCCTGAGAGTCGAGCAATCGATGCCCTATGGAGAGATCCTAATTTCTAGAGGATCGAAACTGTGATGAAAGGTTTGACCACCTCCTCACTTATATATGTGTCTTCTAATTTGCCTCCGTATTCGCCGTATGGGTCTTTAAATAAAATTAAAGATTAAAGAGTGATGCTAAAGTGAAAGAATATAACTGCAGGGTAATCACACATGTCCAACATTATACATACTTCACCAATCCAAGCTTGCAGGTGCTGGATAGGAATGTTTAGTTGAAAAAGAGCCAGCAAGCGCTTAGGTAGGCACGCAAATTACGCCATTGATTATCTTTCTAACGTATAGCGCATGACCAAAATGAACTCTTCAGTCTTCTTGCGGTTGCTCCAAGTAAGATTCTTCCCATTTTGTTCTGGCGGGGAATTCTATTCTCTCAAGGGTTAGGAAGGATCGTGGAACTCTTATTTAGTATTTTGGTTTGTAATCTTTGCTTTTATTTTGCTAGCTGATAAGACCGTTGTTTTTTTGAAACAAAAAAAATATCAACATGCTATATATATACTCACGCACGTGTGTGTTCATATGGTGTGTGTGTTCATTCACTTGATTCAGTTGTTATTTCCTTTTTCCGTTAAATGGCTGTCAGACAAAAAAGAGAAGGACCTATGAATTGATTTAAATCTAGATAAAGTCGATCTTCAAAATAATAACATATAAAAAAGAATAATGGAAAATTGAACAAGCCTTCAAGTAAAATATATCGAAGTTACGAGCCTCCAAATTGACCATTGTGGCTTCTATTTATCTTGAGTTTTTGCTATTCACCATCCAAAATGGAAAAATCTATCCATTATATGCATAAAATTTTCAAATTCTATCCATCTTGAACCTTTTTTTTTGTCCAAATAAAAATATCTTGAGCCTTTTTTATTCGTCATATGATCTTTTTTTCCAACCACATTCTAAAAATCTACAACTATTATTTTTAATTTATATTTTTATTCTTCACTTACCGTTAAGAACCCTCAAACTTAATCATGGGGGCTTCACTAATCGATCAATCATGCACCACCAAAATGGGAAAAAAAATCTGTCATATAAACAATAATTTTTGGTTAACCAGCTAGGTTTTTAACTAGCTAATCAACTTAAAATTGATCAGGCAAAGTCCCTTTATTACAACATGTAAGATAATCATCACAAAAAATAATAAAATCCAATTCCAGTGTTTGTACTAATAATTGATGAATGAAGATAAAAGTTGAGAATTTTTTCTAAATAATAAATACTCACGTGATAAATAGGGAAAAATCAATTCTTTTCTTGTTTATTGGGTAACTATAGGGGCAAAAAATTCAATTCCATAAGCTCTGGTGATCACCGCATCGTTTTACCTCAAGAACGAGTTCTTTCCCTTATTTATTAGTAATCCCGGGGTTTATCTTCAAAATTAAATTGCTTATTTTGATAATATGATTTAAATTATTTCTTAGGTCCTTGTTAGTTAATTAGCTAAAGATGGGGCTGATGGCCTTATGAGAATGAGATAGGCAGTGACCAAGGAAATTCGACGGGTGAGGGTTAAAACGGTCAAAATGGATGCATCTCTCTACATTCTTCTGCACTTACCGCCATAACTTGGAGACGTTGCGCGGGTGTACGCCATCAGTTTCCGTTGCTTCTCTTATTCGCTGTTCAAAATTCATTCGCGATCATCTGAGGTTTAATCGCTTTGTGATCTTTCTTGGCAAGTCTATCTGGCTTCTATTCTTCTTGATTCTCCATGAACTGCTTCTAAATTACGAGCGGGAAAAGAAAAGCAAAAGAAATGCAGCATCGAATTGGATTCCATTTTGCGAAATTTAAACTCAGAACTGGACTGGAGTTAGGTTTAGGGCTTTTGAGAAAATCGTTCGCCAGTGAGCCAGGAAAGAGGTTTGCCGTGCTTTGGGGCAATGGCGATTATGGGAGATTGGGTCTTGGAAGCTTAGATTCTCAGTGGAGACCTGCGATTTGCTCTGCGTTTCATAATCAAAGCCTTAAAGCCATTGCTTGTGGTGGTGCGCATACTCTCTTCTTAACAGGTTCTCCTTTCACTACTTTCTCGCTAATAACTAACTTCGTTATCTGAAGTAAAAGTAATTTCAATAATATTATTTTCCTTTCTAATTGAGAAAACAGCTGTGATCGCTTATGCAATGGACAAATATTTGGCACCGGAAACTTGCTTCTAAAAAGTGCTTTTTAGTGCAAAATTTTCTTGAATGGTCATATTATCGGTAGATGTTCTGCTGTAATTTTCTTTTTGCAATTGCAAACAACGGGCTGTCTACTATACAAAACTGTTGGAGAAATCGATGATGTATTCCGTTTGTTGAATACTAGAACCTTTAGAACAAATAGATTTTATGATATTAAATGGCAAGAATATATCAGTCTTTTAATTGTTGATGACTTTTGAAGATTCACTGTAATTGTCGGGTAGAGGCTCACAATGATCTTCCTGTCACAGACGATGGACGTGTTTATGCCACTGGTCTTAATGATTTCGGACAACTTGGCATATCTGAGAATAAACAATACTCAGTGGTAGAACCTCTAGATCTCATACATGTAATTTTTTAGCCTACTTTTTGCGTTTATGATAGGTTGTGCTGGTGTTCAATTTTTCCTAAGTATATTTTCTCTTAATCACCTCTTCATTCAGTAATTCCAACTGTATATTTAAAAATGATAAGAAAATGCTATGAACTTTGCACACGTGACACTTTCACTATTGGTACTGCTATTTTCAGAATTTATATAATTGTGAATTCGTAGTAAAATTATTATATTTTCTCAACCTTCAGAGCTTAATCTGCTAGATTTTTCTGATTTCATGTGTTTTCATGCCTCTGGCATAGTTTGCCAATTTGATGTTTGTTCTGTTTCTGTCTTTACCACTCACACAACACCCCCCAGTTTATTTTCCCCTAATGTTCATGTTCAGGAACCAATTCAGGTTTTGGGATTGAAGAAGGAGATTGTGAAAGTCTCTGCTGGTTATAATCATTCTTGTGCAATTTCAGGTCTGTGCTATTGAATTTCTAGAGTTACTGTTATCAACCATACCATTAATATAACCACTGATATTTGAAGCTGGTTGGCAGTTTTCATAGGCAATTGAAAAGCTTCTGTAGAATAGCAATGAAAGGTAGAAAAATGTAATGGCATGCGAAATTCATTATTTGAAGATACTTAAATTAATGAATATAATCTTGCAATGGAAGGACAACTAGCAAATGTTGTTCAAAACCCATGATGAGTTTTGATATCAGAATACGGCCTTTCTTTTTTCAGTGGATGGAGAACTGTACATGTGGGGAAGGAACACGAGTGGACAGCTTGGACTTGGAAAAAGTATGAACAAAACCTTATATTGGCCATCTTATTTGTAATTTTTTCAAAATTGAAACCGTTACTAGCAGTAACGATTCAGGCACTCATGAGAAAAGATTTGAAGATAACAGATTGCTTTGAATATATAATTTCTATTGTGAAATGCAGGAGCTGAATCTGTAGTTCCTATGCCAACTAAAGTGGAATGCTTGGATGGAATCAAGATTAAAATGGTAGCACTAGGTTCAGAGCATTCATTGGCTATCAGTGGTATGCAATTTTACATCCTCGTTTTGTTTGTTGTTGAGATTGTTTTCTCTATTTATTTTTTTCTTTAGTAATGTTGGTACACGAGAATTGATGGTTTAATGAGCTTACATGTAATTCTCCAAGTTCTCATGTGGAGAAGTTTAAAATTTAGAGTTCAGAGTTCTGAAATTTGCCTTAGAAATGGGTTTGGATTTTGCTTTTTTGGTTCAACTAGTTTAAGCCAAAACCTTTTTCTAGTAGGAACTCAAATTCTATTGAATGATTTTATAGTGGCATGGATATGGCAATGTACTATGGTGTTCCCGTTATTTGTATTCCTTGTGCAAGCAGTAAGTTGTAAGCTGTTATAGTTACATGACTTGAAAATTTTGAGGTAGATTTACATATACTAATACAAATACTGCCATGCAAAGTTGGACTTGGTTATGTTTTGGATTTCGTTCAGGAATCAAAAGAGGGATTAGAGGGCACATATGAACATTGCTTTCATTCTTATTTAGACATATGAAGCTACAGCATGATGCTTCTATGTTTGACTACTCTCTCAAATCATTGCCCTCATAGAGAAAATCTCAATTATCATGTATAAACCTTGGCTCCTAAATTGAAATTCACCCTAAGCCAGCAAAATTTTTACATTTACCCTAAATTTGGTGATGACCGTAGCAATATACTGTCTTGTATAGGCTACAAATAGAATGTGTTAACAAAATGCAAATAGGTTTGAATTGTTTGGTGGATTCTTTTAATTCTTTCTAGATCTGTGCTGGATTTGTGTTTCTTCATCATGTTATTATATTACATCTTTTGATTTTAATTCTAATTGTATTTCATCCGTTCTTACTCACTTCATAGAGCATATGTGACACTTCATATTGCCTTATAAATATCCTTCATATCTTCAAAATTGTTCTCTTAGATGGAGGAGAGGCCCTAAGTTGGGGAATGGGAGGGTCTGGTAAACTTGGTCATGGCCACGAGTCCAGCATTTTAGGATTCTTAAAAAGTAACAGGTTCTGTCTTCTTTAAAAAAACATCACTTACTTTTTTTGTTGCATTAATTGATACTTCTTTTTGTCTTTAGCTTATGTTTTATTCAACCGAGTGAAAGAAAATATGAGAGTTTGTATAACTGCCTTTGGTATCACAAGAAAGATCTCCATTAAAATGGCTATATCAATTATTATTTTTATTTTATGGCATGTTTTAAATAATGCAGTGAGTATATGCCAAGGCTTATAAAGGATCTTGCTGGAGTCAAGGTATGATGTTGGATTTAATATCTTAATGTTGTTTGTTTCCGAGTTGGATATATTAGCTTGAAGATATTAATTGTTGTCTCCTTTGTTTTGGTTTAAAAATTTATATTCCTAGGTTAAATATGTAGCTGCTGGGCTGCAAACTTCAGCTTGTACGGATGGTATTTGATGATCTTCTTTTTAAAAAATAAAAAATACATTTCTCTACTCTGCATGACCTTAGTTCTATCTTTCATTTAACCTTCGATCATATCTTCATTCATGTAAATTTTTGCAGAGAATGGTTCTGTTTTCATATTTGGTGAAAAAGGGATTGACAAGTTGGTATGTGTGATTTTTTTTTTTTAATCACATACTTTGCCGTATACAACCTGTAATGAGTCGTGATATCTTCATACAATATATTTAGCGCTTTGGTGGGATGAATAATGCAACAAAGCCATCATTGATTAGTGAACTTCCATGCTCAGAAGAAGTTGCATGTGGTGGCTACCACACCTGTGTGCTGACAAGTAATTCATCAGTTTCTCTGATAAAGTATGTGCTGATCTAGTGATCATATTTTGTTTATGGTTTCATTTTATTTCTTTGTTTCCCTATAGATTCCGGAGAGCTTTACACTTGGGGTTCAAATGAAAATGGCTGCCTTGGCATTGGGTAACTTATTGAAGTGATTTCTTGAACAATTCCTTTTTTACTAAATTAATTTTGTATCTTCATTTCTTTTTTTTTTTTTTTCAATTCCTAGTTCCTCAGATGTTATTGATCAACCTGAAAGGGTTCAAGGTCCATTCCTTAAGTCTTCTGTTAGCCAGGTTTGTACTGTTATTCATTCTTACAGTTGATTTCATGGAGAGTTTGTTTAGGAAGGGGAAGAATAAGTTTAAAAAAGTTGCAAATATAGTAGTTTGCAATATGATTGATCAGAGCAGATTTTGGGCACTACGTTTTAATATTAGTATTGAACTTCAATTTCTAATCTAGCCAGCTAGCATTGGTTGACAGAATTTGTTTTTATTTACGAATGATTTTGCACTAAATTCAAGGGGAAGTAAAACTTGGGATACTCTTGTGTTACTGCTGATATTTTATGCTCTATTTAATAGTCATTTACGTAGAGTAGCTGAGCTTTTAGAGCTAACTTGTCATGTGAATTTTTGCATGATCTTGTTCCCATATCTGCTATGCACATTGGTGTTATGACTGCATTCTGTCGGTGAAGTAGATGCATTTTTTAGTTAATTTGTTTGTGTGCCATATAATGCATATATCTAATCACATACTAATAACTTTCATGCATTTTTTTCAGCACCATTGGTAATCTTGTTACTTCAGTTTGTAATGCAAACAAAGTGTAGGATGTGCATTGACTCAACATTTTACTATTCAAAATTTTATGTTATATGCATGAAATGAACAATGGGTGCAATTTCTGCATAAACTGTAAATACAAATGTTTGACATGGGATAATCAAATCAGCACCAAACTCGGGTTTTTAACTTCCTTACTCTATCTATTTTGTATTTCAGGTATCCTGTGGTTGGAAACATACAGCAGCTATTGCTGGTAAGATGCCTCCCCTACTTCCTTCTGAAAAGAAAAAATTCATAGAGATTAAATATGTAGTATTTTGTCAAATCATATATTGCTGATGTCATCTTAATTCCCTCATATCTTGGCATGTCGCATTGTCAATTTGGTCATTATTGCTTTTAAAATTTTCTATTGAAGTATCCTTTGGTAATATGCATATTACTTTTGTCCATATAATTTTTACTGTATAATATTTTACAATCCTTATAATTCTTTTATCACTACTTATAGCTATATATAAACTAAATATATATATTCTAAACTTAAAAAAAATTAAAATCTAGTTGCTTCTTATAGATTTTGAGGAACTTTGTAATAGACCTATTATGAAAGTAGACACATTTTCCATGCAAATGAGCCTCACGGTTCAGACTTGTAAGTAATGTGGCTTCTCGTGGATTTTATCATTTATGGTTTATACTGCAACTTGTTATAGATTTTATTATATATAATGATATATTGATTAAGGGGGAAAAGTTTGATGAGTATTTTGGCCACTTAAAATTGTATTCAAAATAAGAAAAATAGGAGAAGATTAATATCTAAAACCGTAGGCAACAAGAGACGAGAAGTCATAATTGTATTCACATGCCCAAAGTGCCATTAAGTCCTCCAGTCGTTCATGCAGGAAATTTGGAATTCCTAAATGCCCCAAAATATTGAAAATTAAGGGACACAAACAACTCAAGAATTAAGATAAGTTCATGCAACAAAAGAATAATTATTTCATATTTTCAGGCATTTAGTTTTCTGTTATATCTATGAATATTTATGATACACCCTTTACCTGCTAGGAAGGGAAGTGTTCTATTTTTCAACAATGAATTGGAGAAGGCTTGGAGTTAGTCATCTCTAATAAACATTTTCTCCGGGTAATTTTCAGAAAGTTCTTAATCTTTTTAAAGAAAAGGTGTAAAAGATGCTTAACCTGGGTTCAGTCAGCATGGTCGAGTTCTGCTTAGAGGAGTGGCCTTTCAGTAGACCTCGTGTTATAGCAGTCTGTTTGGGTTGTAGAACTGAAGAGACAGCTCTCTTCCAATTTGCCAGTGTTTTTTATTGTTTTCATTAAAATATGATATTTTGTTTCTTTTGCTCTCTTGATGGTTGATACACGTGTTTTTGATGTTCAAGTTGTATTTTTGCTGTAGGGAACAATATTATTTTGTTACTCATCTTGAATTTCTTCTTGTCTTTCCAGAAGGAAAAGTCTTTACATGGGGCTGGGGAGGTTCTCATGGGACTTTCTCGGAGGATGGACATTCTTCGGGTGGACAACTGGTTTGTTTCTTCATCCCATAATTATATGCCTTTTCCAATTAGACATTCCTAGGGAAGAATGCCCCTGCGCACACATTATGGATGCTACTAAGACATGGGTCACAAGATATATTCAAGAATTTCCTTTTGTCATTCTCCAAATAATTCTGTGATTACCAAATATACACCAACAAGCATGCGGGAGAGCTTTCCAGTTGCCACATTTTAAATATTGACGTTCACGTAATCCCGTGAACGTTTTGGCTTATCATTGTATGATGTAATAATATTGGTTAATTTAGAGAATGTCTAATCTGAGTACAATCAGACTAACGCATTTCTTTCATCAATCATTTTTTTTTTTTATTGTTTGGTTTTGTAAGTATGCTATTGTCTGCCAATTTGATTTGACTTATTATGCTTTCCTTTCAGGGTCACGGAAGTGATGTGGACTACATAAATCCAACAAAGGTTTGTATTGGAGAAAATATGAAAGCAGTGCAAGTTTCATGTGGGTTCAATCATACAGGTGCTATAATTGAATATACCTAGGTTTGGCTACCCAATTATATGTAGTTACTTTTCAATAGTCAACAAGTTTAAACAAATATGAACACAGCAGTGATGCCATCCATTTGTTCATTTTATTTGTATCGCATTATTACCATGTATCTTTCATAAATCTCACCAGATGAACAAAGGATGCTTCTTACACACAACAGGCTCCAGGAAGTGGTGGCTCAACTTAAACGAGGCATAAACCATATATTTCTTGCATTTAGCTCTTGTTTCCCTGGAAGACGAGAACATGTTATGTATATGCGAATAATTTTAAATGATGTTCGGGGGGAAAAAAAGACTGATAGCTCACAGTATCATTCTTCCATTGTGTACATGTTACTTTTGGCTGGTGTCTTGGATCTGGCTCTAAAAATCTATTTTTAGTCCCTCAAAATAGATGACGGTTGAGTGGGCGCTATTCTAATAAATCATGGCGAAGCAATTAGAGGAACCCATGCGTTGTTAATGGTCACGCTACGTGCAGATCCCTTCTCCAGCACTCCGATTGGAAAGGTATCCTCTTTTCTGTTTGTATTTTTTGGATGGAATCTGCTCATGTTAGGTTAAGCATATGTATAACCTCGAACAGTGGGCAAATCTTACAGTACTCGGTTTCAGTTTATTTCGGCATCATCTGGTTTAATTGCGTAATAGCGTAGCAGTGACACCTCTGTCTCCTCTATAAATTTAAATTTTCTTTTGTCAAAGGAATTTAATTACTACTCCGTTATGGATGTTGTGATTATGCTATCACAAATATTCTTCTAAAAACATAAAGCTCGGGGGGGTCATGAGTTTTATGTGAGAAGTGAAAGCAGTTCAGACGCTGCATTAAAGTTGTCTAAAACATCTTTGGATTCCATGGATTGAGACATGCACACATCTTCATACATAAAGGGGAGCGTAATAAATGCCTGCAGTGATAAGTCAAAACATTGGAACATAGCTCACCTGTTAAGCCTATGCCTCGAGAATTGAGATTTTGAGACCATCTCTCAACACCATCCTGCGTTTGGTTTTTGCCTTGCCTTGGCTTTAACTATGTTGTAGTAGTATCGGTTTAATTGTGTTGTCACTAATGTTTTGCTATATTACATTATATCGTGCGAGTGCAATATATCGTATCGTAGTAGATTCGTATTCGTATGGGTTGGTGGGAATTGCATTATGATTAACCCATAATTGCAGCAGGGGGTGGTCCCTACATGAACCGGGGAACTACATCTGGAAAACCAATGGTGGTCCCCCACGTACCCCACCTGTGAAGACAACCCTGGAGTCCACGTGCTGTTGTCTCTGGGGGAATAGGTCCCACAATGAATCCATCGTACCAAAGAGCATTTAATGGGATCACGTGGCAATGCTTGCAGCGTACGATGCGAGGAGAATCTGAGCCGTAGGATGTTCGCCGGGGGTTTGGACTCCGGAGTTAATAGCCATAGAGGTATGATTTATTATTTGCTATGCATGGAGAGAGGAGAGAGATGAGAGAAGAGAAGTACTAGTACTGGCTGGCGATGAGAAAGAAAATAAAAAAATTAAATGTGAGATTGTGAAATATGTGAGGGGGTTGGTTGGAGGAGGAGTAATGGAGGTGGGGGGGAGAGGGAGCGAGTAGTGTATTGGTAATTGGTAATTTCTGCTCCTCGTTAATCGGGCTGTGTTCCTCGGTCCCCGATCCTACGCTCCCGCTGACACCGACATGTCCGGGGTCTACATCATGCTTGCATGTGGACCGTTCGATTACAGCCGGTGGACGGCTGCGATCTCTTGATTCCCTATTCGCCGTCTTTCTCATGACGTGTTTCACGGAAGACACTGTTGATTGTCACAGCTATACCATGGATAGATATAGATTGACGGGGGCCAAAACCATAACAAATCCATCCCAAAAAAAAAAAAAAAACAAAAAAACAAAACAAAACAAAAACAGAGAGAGAGAGAGATTGGCACCGTGGGGCACTCCCAAATCCTTTCAAATTACCCCCAAAAAAAAATTCTGAACAAACTCCCGGATAAATATGTTTTACTCTTTAAACCAATGCTATTTTACTATTATACTTAGAGTATTAATTCAAATATTTTTTTTACTTAATATGACTGTTAAATGATTCAATGTCTATTTCACTGTCAAGGTTTTGCTTAAGGCTTGAGATTAAACACATTGAAAAAAATGAGAACCAACAGTGTATTCCATGCATTTATTGACAGACATTATGGAGATGAAAAATTGATGTCTGCATATTATATATTTATTGTTGTAACCAACATTCCACATTATTTCATGAATTGTAGTTGTAGACTGATAAAGTTATGGTAGAGGAAAGAAAAATATGAACGGACTGAAAAGAAAAAAAAATTTGTTGATTTAAAAATGTTCTGTAGTTCAAAACATAATAAATTATATTATTTTTTTAAAAAATAATTGAAGGGTTCTTAAAACTTTTATTTGAAAAAGAAAAACTACAGTCGATTGCTTGATAAAGTCGAATTTTGTACTTGACGGGAAAAAAAAAGGTCAAATTGTTTAAAAACTTTCAAAATAAATTATTTTATTGTTTTTATCATTATAGTTAGTGGGGATAAATTTGCGGTGTCAATTTAACATCCACTTTCTCCTACCATTTCATAACAAAATTAGTACACTTTTTTTTCATTTTCAAATTGTAAGATATTTTTTGGGGGAGACTTGATGCCCCAAAATTTAATATATTTTGACAAAAATAAAATTGTATTAATAATTTTTTTAAATGTTATCCTTACAATTATATCCTTTCTCTTTAATATTCTTTTATAAATAAAATATTAAATTGAGGGCATTTTTAAAAAAAATTATATTTTTGTTTTAAAAAATGAAGTCGTAAAATATATGTAATAAATTTTATTGATATGTATGATTTTGTAAGATGTATTGTTATTTGAGATGGATGGAGTAGGTTGCAATTTTATACTACTCAATGTTATAAAAAAAATTAACTTTCTTGATAAGAAAATTAGCCTAACATGTACAACAAATAAACAACCTATGACCAATAAATTAAGGATAGAGATGGAAAGAGAGGAGCGTGATTGAGGGTGGTGGCCGTGCGGGTAAGGGGTGGTACAGAGGAGTTTGAAAGTAGGAGTTGCAAAAAGCTCAAAATAATAAGGTAATGATGAAAGAATCGCATTCAAGCCAAGACAGACTTTTGTCTAGTTTCATGTGTTCTTTTATATTTTTTTCAAAATACCCTTTTTGTCTTCTTCTTCCTCCTCTTTTTGACTGTTGCTAGCAGGTCACAGGTCGTCGGGTTCACCGGCACCACGAGGTCAGCACAAAGCTTGGGAATTCAAACAAATCACAGCATTTTGTTGGGTGTGTATGCATATCTACATTTTGATATCAGTGGGGTCTCTCAAAACTCAACTCTCTCTTGAGTTCAGACCATCGAGTACGACGCTTTGGGTTTATGTTATTAGTTAAAATGCCGTTTTGCATAAGCTAATTTTAGGAACATCTGAATTGTAAAAGCCTAGAAGAAAGAAGCCCACCATTAGACATTACTAGTGAGTGAGTCAGTGCTTCCTCTCTCTCTCTCTCTCACCCTAGCTATATATAAGAAGGTACGTTGTGGGTTAGGGTTATGCGGTAAACTTATGGGTAGAGAAAATAGGTGCGTGTTTGTTTCTGTGGTTGAGGGGAATGTTGGCTGGCTCGAGGCTTTTCCACAAAGGAGGTTCTCACTCAGAAGAACTATTAAGGCTTCGGACCAGGCTTCATTCCCCTCAAAATTTTTTATCCTTTCTCAATCCTCATTATTTCCCTGAGAGATTTCTAAGTTTGAACCTACAGAACAGATCATCGATACTGTATGTGTGTGTGCGCGCGCGCTGTGGATTGGCCCTCGATCGATTATCGCAAAGGTTAGGTTGAGAGGAATGTTGTCTGGCTCGAGGTCACGAATTGGGAGTTGATCATTCTCATGCAGTAGTGATTGCTTACGATCACTAGAAAGGGTTAAGGAAATTTGGTAACCCTAAAATGACTCTCGGACCAGGCTTCATTCCCCCCAGCCATCTTTTGCTCTTTTTTCGCTATATTCATACCTTAATTCTGCTCATTCTCAACGCTCAGTCTTCATCTTCCTCACATAAATGTTGGTCTTGGTAAGGCTTCTCTTCCAATTCTTATGTTGCACATTTGCTATATATAGCTAATAGTTCATCACTCAAGTTTTGCATATTGCTAATAATCATTACACCATCAGTTCATACCGAAGAAAAAGGCTCTCCTGCTCCTACCTGGCTAGGGTCGCAAGGTCAGAAGTGCCAGCTCAAATTACTCACATATATGTATGTATATATGCTTGCTTCGTGTGATTAATTAGATATTCATATTTTTGAAGATTTTCACTTCATCAGCTTCGGTTTCTGGGGCCTGATTCTTCGTTCACAAATTATAACAGATCTGCTTCCCCTCCTCCTTCGGCTTTCTCTTTCACACTCACTCACAAAGATAGCCATCACTAGATGTCTAGCATTCTGATGTTAATCAAACTAGTGAATGAATTAATGTGTTCTGTTATCGATTTTATTGGCGAAAATTAATTACCATCGAATGTTCACTTCACGTGGACAAGATAGGGGGAAAGCATGTGCTGTGTAAATCTACATCCATCAGATAGATAGATAGATGGATGTGAAATTCTTTAGCCTACTTAGCTAGCTAGGTACTACTATTAGCACAGCTCTGGCTTCTAGGGTTTCGAAATAATGTTCTTCTTCTTTCTGAATCTCTTTCAGCTTTTTCGAAGTAACCCCCTTTTCAGGCAGCCAAAAGTATAAATATTTACAGAAACCTCGCAAATCACCCTGAAATGAAGCATCAATTTCATGAATCTGAATATACCACAGGTAAATCTACAGTTTCCCTGTAAGGGCAGTAATAACCTTAGTAGGTAAGTTTTTCACTCTCACCTGGGCTTTTGATATCCCATAATTTTCCGTGGAACACTTATTACTGATCAAATTATTTTGACGTAAGCTGCTATAATCAACTTTTAAGCGTTGCTTTGCTTGCGGATGAATTTGTTGCTTTTTGTTTTGCAGTGAAATGTATGCCCTCCATTATTGAAGACACTAGCTGGTGAAGAAGCTGAGGCGTGATGAGGCATATCTCAATCAGCGGGTTTGAATAATGAAGATGAATCACATACTATATTATCACTATAATTGTATCATAGTTTCTTTTGTAATCAAATGAAATTTAATGGTTCCAAAAGCGACGAATAAAAGGTCTGATACTGGTTTCAAGCATTTTCAATTTCAAATCATCTTCGCATAAACTAGCTAGACCAAATAGCTAGCATTCTGACGTGTGCACCAAAAAAAAAAGTATTCTGATATTAAAAAAATCGAAGGGTGTCATTAAATGTTAGTATTATTTTTACCTGCAGAAAGGAAAAACAAAAAAGTATTGTAAAGTGATATTTTGGGAATCCCAATCCCAAGGGTTGGTGAAGCTGCTGAGATATCTCTGTGAATGAATGATCAATAAAGGAGTGAAGATGCCATGGAAAGAGATGTGCGGGAACGGTTAGCGAGAAATGTATGGAATTGGAGAAGCTAGCTAGGGATTCTCTTACACCATGCAGCTTCCATTATCATTACGAACCATATATGTATGTGTGCTACACAAGCTGATGCACTAAACCTGGAAATGGAAAACTGAGAAAGAAGCAAAAACCCCAAAAAAAAAAAAAGGTTGTGTTTTAGTGTAACATATTAATGAGGCTTTCAAAGTTATTGAAAAATCAGAAACCATCTTTAGAAAAGGTTGGATCAGCAGTAGCAGCTTCTTCTTTTTCGTGGAGTCATGGTTTGTATGTTGTAGAGGAAGGTTTTTTTTTTTTTTTTTCCCAGAAAGAGAGAGAGATTTTGAAGAGGGAACATGACAGCATGTGGAGGAGTGAGTAAATGAATTAGTGACGAGTGAGTGTCTGGCGCGTCTTGGGAAATGAAATGAAGGAGAAGGAGGGGAGAGGAAAACAAAAATGGCGTGTGGAAATTAACGGAAACAATTTGACCTTTCTGTGCGTTGACAGCTTCTTCCTCAATTTATTATCATTTTCAACTCTCTTCCTTCTTTCTCCAATCCCTTCAAGCAACGACTCTCTCTCTCTCTCTCTCTCTCTCACACACAAAACAAGTTTTCAATTTCCACTGGCTTGTTAGCCACTCCAACTTGTTCTGCATCATACAAGTACGCGCACTCTAACAATAGCCTCAATCTATATGTACAAAATTAGAATCAATTTTCTTGAACAATTACTATTTACTTGATGAAAAAGCATTCCTTTCTTTTCCTTTCGAATTATATGGCTTACTATTTTAGCTTGATAAATTAAAAAGGATTCCTCCGAAAACATTTCAGATTACTAATACTTGATGATCTCTCTCCTTCCCTAAATTTACACTTAGTTTTCTCCACATCTGTCCCTTTTTATAATATATAGTTCATGATTCTGTGATGTTTTTTAAAAAAATTAGAAAATTATCTATATTCAATTACTTCCCCCAACTCTTAATTAATAATATTTTCAAAAATACTCCTATTTAATTAGGAGCATATTTGGAAACACCAAAAAATTATTCAGACACAAACAAGTTCCCTGGTTTGCATAATTTTGAAAACTATAGTATTTCAGTTAGGGAGGGACAGAGGGAGTATGGAGGATAAAATTAAAGTACATCAATAAATCAATCACTATGTTAATTATACAATGAAATTAACATAACTGATCATATGGTTCACAATTTATAAATGATATTATCTTTGTTTTAAAATAACTATAGTTTTAAATAGATTTAAAAAAAATCTAATACTCCCTCTATTAAAAATATAAGGCATTTTTAACTAAATCTCACCCCTCAATAAAGTAATTAACTATTTTCAAACTAATCTTATCTTTCTATATTTACCCCTATTAAACACCCTATAATAAATATAAAGTCATTTATCAATAGCGTGCACTTAAAAAAAAAAGATAATGATTATGCCTTGAAAAACTAAAAATGCCTTACATTTTTTAATAAATAGAATACTATTTAACTGAAATAGGTTTTATTAAGTGCTCCCTGGTATAACATCCTAAGTTTCTTAATTAGTAATTATCAAAGTTTTCAAGGGTAACTTAGTCAGTTTAGATAAATTATTAATTAATGAAGTTTATGGGAGGTTAATATAATTTATGGATCCTTGGACAGCCTTAGAAGAGGGTTAGGTTAATGTTTGAGCGGGCCATGGCACGGAAGGGAGTTTAAAATTTTGTGGGACATTCTATGCCATATGCCACAACAGGCGTGTCAATCCACCGCAGTGCACGTACAAAATTAGCACTTATTAATTCGCAAGAACATATCAAAAACAAAAAAGAGAAAGAAGGAAAAATGAGAGAGCGACAAAAAGGAGCTCTAATCTGCTAGGGCACGATTATTAAGCTATTTTAGAAGCAATTGGAGCTTGAATCACCATTAGGTAAGTTGCACATTCCCTCTTCTCCCCTTTTTATGCAAAAATCTAGATTGGTGAGGTAATGGGGGCTTGAATTTCAATTCCCTAAGGTTTAGGCCAAATTCATTGATTTATTTAAAGTCTTAGGGAGTTAAATCAAGCATTTAACCTTAAGTTTATGAGTTTTATGGTGATTGAGAAATTTTGGTAAGGGTTTGGACGAACCTTAAGTATAATTTAAAGATTTTGAGATAATGTGGAATATTGGTTAGTAATTTTAGTGTGTTGGGATGTTTAATAAGATGGTTAGAGTGTTTAGAAATAGTTGATGTTGTTAGAAAATAAATTTGGGTATTTTAGACACTTAGAACCTAGTGAATTCAGAGTTATTCGAAGTGATAATTGATAATTATTTCTTCATTGTGTAGATTGAGCGTTGCTCGAGCTATATCATGTGTATAGAACGTGAGGATTTAATATTAAGTCACGATAACCCTTTTGTGTGACAAAGAGTTGAGGTAACAAAATGATTTACACTATTCAATTATATTTCTTGACTATATGTGAGTATATATATTAAATTTATTACTTGAGATTTGATAATCTTGCATATTGTGAAATGTAATTTTGTGCATGAAAAATCTATTTGCAAATAATGAGGATGATGAAAGTTATATATAAATGGGTTAAGAAATTTGAAATGTATACGTGATATATATGTTAAGTGTGGGCATAATCATGTTAGGAGGTAGGAGTTCACTCATAAGAAAAAAGTAGTAAAAGTTCATATGGCATGTATTTTCTTAGTGTCTAGTAAGGCATGGTGTTAGAGATTTTCTTCTTAGTATTCATGCAAAATACAGCGTTGCAGAGTAACGCTCATTAGCATCAATGATGTGGTGTTTGAGTAACAACACCTCAATTCATGTGCAATAGAGGGAAATCATAGTTTAAAAGTGGGATAGGACACCTTTGGCTGGGTGATCCTACCACTGAAGGTGAGTTCAGATCATTGTAAATATATACTTGGTCCAAGAGCCTATAGTTTCGATTAGGGTAATATGAAAGTTCGGGTGGTAGAATGATCATGCTAGTGGTAAAAGATTTGTACTGATAAAAAGAGTAAATGGTGATATGCTAAATGTATATTTTGAAGTTTCATAGTTTTACTCTCTTATAATTGTGCATGTTAATTATTAGTAATGAATTATTCTATTACTGAGATATTTATCTCACCCCGTGGTTATATTTTACATGTAAGGGCTCCGGTAGGAGCAAAGGGAAGGAAGGGACAATTGAAGAGTGAAGAGCATTGTAGTATAGCTCTTCTCCTTTCTGTTTTGGGTTTGTAATGAATATTGCCATTATATATTGCCAACATATGAACATAACTTTATTTTGGGATATCACTTGTATGAATTTGTGATAAGTGTGTGTAACTTGATCCAAGGTTGATGTTGTGGATTAAATATGTGTGCTTGGCCAAGTTACCATTATAAGTGAAGAATTTGAAGAGATTTATGTGTCAAAATAATCAAGTGACATGTTTGTTAGAATTTATTCACCCTTTTATGTTGTTGTAAATTAGGGCTTTAATGGTCATTTTGGGTGTAAATACTTAATTGTGTGTTATGATTGAATAGTCATATTGTGTGTAGTCCATTTAAGGTGGTCAAAGTGTTTTTAGGGCTAATGACAATTGGCATTGTGAGTTGGACACCTCTATGTGTGTTTTGATGTGAAAAACAATCATTTTAAGTTTAAGTGTTCATCTTTTAAATGAATAATTATTTGAGTGTGAAATCAGTTTCATTAGCTAGAGGGCTCAGAGTGTTTCATGTGGACACTTAAATCACCCAAATCAGACATCAGAGGGCAAAACGGTGCACTTTGAAAGTTCGGAGGGTGAGTTGTCATGATAGTAGGTGCATGCCGTCACGTAAAAGGCCTTTAAGGGATTCATCCCTCTGTGCCATTTGCCGTGGCGGACGGGCCAGAATTTTTGAGAAGTGGTTTGTTTTAGCCTAATTTAATGTGGTTTGATTTTTATGCTTCCATATCTGTTCTGGATTGATTTTTAACCATAGTTTGATCTCAAACAATATTTTAAAAAGGGTTTTCTTGGGATCTCAATATTTTAAACTAATTATCTTTAAACCTTTGTGTTGTGATAACTTTTTTATGAGATTTTATTTGATTTTAGTTATCACAACAATGTGTATGAGCATTATCCTGGTAATGTCAAGGCGGATATTACACCTAATATATAGTAGAGTACAATACAAAGTCAACAAATTTTGAGCTTATTAAGAAATGTTAATTATAATCTTGAAATTGTTAAAAAAATTGTGAAGCTTTCCAATATTACGCTTGTTTGTAATTAATGATTGTAATAAATTATGAGCAAAACTTATATACTTAGCTTTATATACTTAATATACTTTTATCTAATTAAGTCATGACAGGTTGATCTTAATATGTTAATAAAATTAACAACAAAAATTTATTATAGAATGAATAATCTATACAAGATCCACATGTCTTGATTTAATTAAAAATAAGCACATTAAGTAAATAATTTTTTATAAATTATTGTTAAAATTCAAATGACAATAAATAAATAAAGGATAAAATTTCAAAATAATATTAATTATTTTAACTTCATCTTATATTTAGGATAAAAAAACTTCCAAACCTCATCTTACATCAAGGATTGGAAGAGGACTCTGCTCCTTTTCTAAACAAATATTTGGACTTCAGCTATCATTATTGTTATTAATAAAAAGTAAAAGGGCAAAAACAA